GGAAGACTGGCTTTGGGTAAACCGGACTGAAGGAGAAGTAAGTGACCTCAACTGAGCACCATCTGCATGAAGCTTGTGTGTAGACTGTTGTCTTTTTATTAGAGGTTTCCTGATGTTGTTGGCAGGTTCCATGAGGAGTTTTCATATTTTTTGTATTGTCATTTGTTGTTTGTTGTTGGCATCTGTGCATTAGACCCCGCGAAAGCACTTCATAATTCTGAAATACTCAGTTTGATTGCAACTGCAGGCAATTTGACAACAGACTATTTCAACAATTTTATGGAACACCGTCTGTTTAGAAAGCAATGACAAACTACTGAATGTAAAAATTGCATAGTAAAATCAAACAGTGGCAAACTGCTGAACATAAAATTACCTAGTTAAAAACAACCCACCAAAATAATGCTGGTGTTGGTTCTGCAGTGCCCTGTAAAGGATGCACAGATAACTTTTTGTTTAGTAACAACCTCTCTTTGTTTCAGGTTGTTGACTGATTTCATCTTCATAATCTAAGTAAAGTAAAAAACTTTTCACATCTGATTGGGCTAGGGCTATATTTTTTGTAGACTTTTCAGCACTCAGTGAGACATTGGGTAAACAGAAGATAGGAAAAACATGCTGCAGATTAGTTGGAGCATGTGTTCTGTTGGGGGATTTTTTTTTTTTTTTCAGTATCTAGAAGCCAATAAAACAAAGAAAATTGAAATATTTTGGTCACTTGAAACGTCATGGAAGTCTAGAGAGAACAATAATGGAGGGGTATATGCCTGGGAAGAGAGGAAGAGGAAGGCCAAGGAGAAGATGGGTGCAGGATGTGGCAGATGATCTCCAGATGGGTGTATCAGACGCAGGACATCTTGCTCAGGATAGGAAGGTTTTCCGGAGGGTTGTTATGGCAGCGAGGTTCCGCGAGGGACATGCTACTGAATGAATGAATGAATGAGAAGCCATGAGTTGTTAACCCTTAGGCACAGTATTATGGATATCGCAACCCTTCGGCCTTGATTTTATGATAAATACAGTAAATCTGGAAGAAATGTGGCTTTTCTGCCTACCCCTGGGCGTGAACCTGAACCACAAGGAGTTCGTCTCCCGGTCACCGCGCAGTCCGGTTTAGCCAACTACGCTAGAGAGCCGGGCTTTGTAGGGGGATAAAAGATAGAAGGAGACTCGTGATGCTCTGCCAGTTACCAGAAAATGAGCTGTTCAATGCTGATAATGCACTTTATATAATTTCCTAAATTTATCTGCTTAAATGCAAATATGTTCAGGGGTCTCTCATTGTTTAAAAAAAAACATCTTGTCAGAAATGTAATTATTTTTGCATTAGAAAGTACAATTTCAATTCCTAAATTTATTTCTTTGGTGTGTCATTATTCTACCAGCATAATTTATATTGTTGTAATTTTTATCTTTCATGTGTCATTATTCTATCAACACATTTATTTCGCTATCATGTTTATCTTTGGTGTGTTATTATTCTGCCAGCATAATTTATATTGTTGTAATTTTTATCTTTCATGTGTCATTATTTTACCAACAAATTTATTTCCCTATCATGTTTATCTTTGGTGTGTTATTATTCTGCCAAAACATTTATATTGTTGTCATGTTTTATCTTTGGTTTGTCAGTATTCTACCTACATACATATATATCTGTATTGTTGTCATGTTTATCTTTGGTGCGTCATTATTTTACCTGAACACTTATACTGTTGTCATGTTTTATCTTTGGTGTGTCATTAATCTTCCAACACACTTATACTGTTATGTTTTATCTTCGGTGTGTTAGTATCCCCCCCCCCCCCCCCCCCCCACACACACACACAAACACGCATGCGTGCACGTGCGTGTGTGTGTGTGTGTATATTGTTGTCATATTTATCTTTGGTGTGTCAATAATTCTACCTGCACACTTATATGTTGTCATATTTTATCTTCAGTGTGTTAGTATTCTACCTATGTATATGTATATATATATATATATATATATATAGTTGTCATGTTTTATCTTTGGGTAATCTGTCAACACATTTGTATTGTTGTCATCATTGTCTTTTGTTTTTCAGTACTGGGCTCCAGCACACTTATGTTGTTGTCAGATTGTCTATGATGTGTCAGTATTCTGCCAGCACATTTATATTATTGCCTGTCAGCGCATTTGTATTGCAGTAATCTTTATCTTTGATGTAAAAGTGTTCACTTATTATGTTTATTTAAAGTGATGGAATACCTCTGGTCATGCGCACCACAGTGTGAGTATGAGCTTTTTGGGCTTTGTTCCCTGTTCCCTGTTTCATTCACCTTTGTTTATCAGTTCAGTTTCTCATCAGTTTCTTTGTGAATGACAATACACTGTATTAACACAAGTGCAGGGTATAATACTTGATACTATTAGGGGTATTTTAATATTACAAATTTAGTTTGATGCAATAGGGCTTCATCATCATTGTATGTTGGGTGGATAAGTGTGGGTTATCATAGGTAAATGAGGAGCTGGTCGAATGGTTAAGAATGCTGGGCTCCTATGCAGGAGACTCGGGTTCAAGTCCTCAGTAAGGTTGTTAATTTTTTCTTTTAGGGGAAAAAAATTATAACCTGGACAGTCCATGGCAACAGCACTAGCCATACAGCAATAAATCCTCAGATGGTTAGCATCGCGCCGGCCACCTTTACTTCCCAGGACTGCACCTGGAACCCACTCAAGGCTGGGTCGACCTGGGAGCCAAGGTCATTTTTGAAAAAAGTCCGGCCCCATCAGGACCCGAACCCAGTACCCTCCAATCCGCAGGTGAATGCTTCCATTGAGGAGTGGTAAATAGAGACAGTAATGGCAGTCTTGGCAGTTATCACGGTTCATGCGATCACTAGCAGTTGGATAAAGTCTGTGTTCTTGTCCTGATGAACCATTTAATCAAATTATTTATATTCTTCTTCTTCGCGTTCACCAGCTGTACACTCTGGCGGAAAGTTCTGGTTGCTCGTCCACCACTGAACTGTAGTCCTGCTCCGGAACCTGAGTGTTGCATGTGCATCATTTTTACAGATCTCATTCTCTTGAATACAGACTGTTGATTCCTTACCTCTCCGGCAGATGCACTACGACCTCAAAGGAAGCTCCCCAATTAGTCGACTCTTACGACATGCTTTTGGGGAGGCAGTGGGTCTATTCTTGTTTTTCCCACAATGGGGCCCCGGAACCCACACGGGGGCTAATTATTTATGTCTGTTTGCTTCTTGCTCTATTTTGTTTTATCAAGTTCACCAGTTTTATGTTGTTGTTTTTTTTTAAGTATCCAGAAGCCATGAGCTGTTAACCCTTAGGCTCCTCGGTATTAGGGATATCGCAACCTTTCGGCCTTGATTCCATGATAGATACCGTAAATCTGGGAGAAATATGGCTTTTCTGCCTACCCCCATGCGTGAACCCGGACCACAAAGAGTTCGTCACCCAGTCGCCTCGAAGTCAGGTTTAGCCAACTACGCTAGCAAACCGGGCATTTTTATGTTTAAATTAACTTGTCCTATAAATCTTGTTTATTTTTTCTTCTGATCTGTGATTTTCATCTTCCTCTTCATGATGCTGCTTTGAAATGTGAATTGTGAGGCCTTCTTAAAAACTAGGTTGTGGCAGTGTTATATAGAATGACCAATTTCTTTTATTACGGCCATCTTGTTTTTCTAGATAATACCCGGAAATTCTTGATTTAATCTTGTACCCATTATGCAAATCTGGCTGAACCAAGAATGTTTATGGGTTGGAAGGAACCTTGCCAACAGTGGTTGGCGGAGGGGGGGGGGGGGGAACCTAGAATTTATAAGAATTGGAAGGAACCTTGCCAACAGTGGTTGGCGGAGGGGAGGGGGGGGGGGGTGGGGAACCTAGAATTTATAAGAATTGGAAGGAACCTTGCCAGTAGTGTTAAAAAGGAGGGGGGAGGGGGTATGAACCTATAATTTTCTATGGATAGGTATGAACCCATACTTCCTTGTCAGTAAGCTAGCTACAATGTCACTGAGGTTAATATTTAGTCAGCTTATTTTCTCACTTAGGTTCGCACTCTGTCTCGTTCTAGGTCGTCCAGTTCTTTGTTAACCAACTCTTGTTGTTCCCTATATTGTATAACTCCTACTGGGGGAATATACTTCTCCTTTCTACCTTTTTCTTGTTCTTCTTTTCCTTTATTTTGGTCTTCTTTATCTTTTTTGCCATCTTTGTCCTCCAGCAAACTCATCGTGACATTGGGGAAGCGATGTAATGATCATATAATGCTGTGTCTGATGCATTGTATTAATTGATCTTCATTTCTGTGAGGACTGTTCTCAATGCTGTTGTTCCATTTTGTGTATGGTCTTCCTCTTGCTCTGTGTTCATTGTATTTCTTCATCATGGACCAGGGTATTCTTGTCAGATGGCCAAACAGTCTCATCTGTTGGTAGCACTTGGTACCACAGTATTCTAGTCAGATTGCCAAACAGTGTCATCTGTTGGTAGCACTTGGTACCACGGTATTCTAGTCAGATGGCCAAACAGTCTCATCTGCTGGTAGCACTTGGTACCAGGGTATTCTAGTCAGATGGCCAAACAGTGTCATCTGTTGGTAGCACTTGGTACCAGGGTATTCTAGTCAGATGGCCAAACAGTCTCATCTGTTGGTAGCACTTGGTACCAGGGTATTCGAGTCAGATGGCCAAACAGTCTCATCTGTTGGTAGCACTTGGTACCAGGGTATTCTAGTCAGATGGCCAAACAGTGTCATCTGTTGGTAGCACTTGGTACCAGGGTATTCTAGTCAGATGGCCAAACAGTCTCATCTGTTGGTAGCACTTGGTACCAGGGTATTCTAGTCAGATGGCCAAACAGTGTCATCTGTTGGTAGCACTTGGTACCAGGATATTCTAGTCAGATGGCCAAACAGTCTCATCTGTTGGTAGCACTTGGTACCAGGGTATTCTAGTCTGATGGCCAAACAATTTTGTCAGTTGGTAGCACTTGTTACCAAGGTATTCTAGTCAGATGACCAAACAGTCTCATCTATTAGTAGCACTTGATACCAGGGTATTCTAGTCAGATGGCCAAACAGTCTCATCTGTTGGTAGCACTTGGTACCAGGGTATTCTAGTCAGATGGCCAAACAGTCTCATCTGTTGGTAGCACTTGGTACCAGGGTAGTCTAGTCAGATGGCCAAACAATCTTATCTGTTGGTAGCACTTGGTACCAGGGTATTCTAGTCAGATGGCCAAACTATTTTGTCTGTTCATAGCACTTGTTACCAGGGTATTCTAGTCAGATGGCCAAACAATTTCATCTGTTGGTAGCAATTCCAACCAGGGTATTCTAGTCAGATGGCCAAACAATCTTATCTGTTGGTAGCACTTGGTACCAGGGTATTCTAGATCTCATCTGTTGATCTATAGTGAATTGTTTGAGTGGTTTAGCCTTAGTCGTCTAAGAAGATATTGAAGACAACAATCTTTTTTATTGTGGTCCATGTGGTAATGTTGCTGTGGTACTCTCTGATACCTCTCCTCATCATGAGACTACAGTACACCGTGTCTGTCTTAGTTAATACATAAAATCTTTGGAAAATGGATGTGGTTTTCTCTTGCCTTCCACACCTACCTTGGAGTCCTAATTCTGACTGCGGTTGCCATCTGTCAGAACAAATGAGTGCTGTGATCTGCACAGGTACAAAGATTCTTTCCACTTATTTTTTGATGATATAATCTAAGAACATTCCCTGTGCATGCGATGAAGATAATCCATGATGTAACCCAGCTGGCAGATACCAACAAAGCTTCTCACATATGAAAACATAGACCCCCCTCCCCCCTCCTATTCTTCTTTTGAATTATAATAAGTAACTATGTCTTCATGGAAAAATGCTTTGCCTTTCACTGTGAGGTTGGATGGATGGACAGTTCTGAACTCTGTCCTTCAGTTTCCCTATGCAGGTGTTCTGGAGATATCTAGGAGTTATCACTAGAGCTTGAAAGTTTAATGAGAGAGGGAGAGACTGAGCTATGTTGGATAAAACAGTGCAGTCAAGTTGTTACTCTCACCTTTACATACCCTTTAATATCATGAGTTAATTGGTCATAATGGATTCATGTTGTTACTTTCATGTTGTTTCTTTCAAATTGTTACTTTCATTTCATTATGTTTCAGTTTACCATTTCAGGATGGCAAGTCCAGATATAATGTGTATGTTGACCAACATCAACTAATTTATTTTTTGAACACCCATGCCTTAGTTGTAGCTGTGCATTTGGTCCTGGCTATGCTGCTCCCTGCGCTATTAACACATACTATATTTGGGCATCATGCATGAACAGACTGTATTTAATGCTCATAACTCATAATGAAATTCCACAAATATATTCTGCTTCAGACAACGCAATAACAGGATTTAACTTTTTATGCTGACGGTCAAATTCCTTTAACATATTATATTTCTGACTTAACTCTTTGAGTCCCAAGGAACGCATCATACGTTCATAGTTATCTGCCTAGAGGCCCAATAAACGCAAGATGCGCTGATTTTACACCTTTTGACTACCCCTTGGGCCTCTGATGCTAAAACCTCTGGGACTCAAAGAGTTAATGCCGTAGTGTATGTAATCTGTAATGCTAAGGGTGAAAATGCATTAATTTCTTATATTTATTGTCGACTTTCTTTCACGTATTTTGTTTATGACTTGTTACATTAATGGAATTCCACCCCCCCCCCCCAAGAGACAGTTAAGACCGTTGTGATGTGCATAAGGAATTACTCCTTACCTCAACTCGGGCGTCAGTTGGCTCTTGGATAGTCTTACGGATCCTTATGCAAGACTCCTGCTGCACGTCCACAACGTTCATGGATAAGGGCTCACCTCTATGACCTGAACCGAGCTGGCAGGGGATCTTGGAGTTGGTGGCCTCTAGAAATGTAGTGTCCAGTCTAGCTCACACCAGCCCACCCGCAATGCATGGGTGAAAATGCCTCCCGAAGCCCATTTGGGACATGGGTAACCTCCGCTAGCCAAACACCCCTAAATGACAGCCCTCAGTTTAAATGTCTGACAAATTGGAAGACCTACCGTACTGCTGAGATTCGGCCCTAAAACAATAGATTTGGTCGCAGCCTAGACAAGCATCATCTCTTGTGGGCGGTAACTCGCTGAATACTACCATTTCCGACCACCCCTTGCTGTTCCTCATCATCATCATCGACACCGGGGTGAGGTATGTGGTACACCATAGTCTGCTTCTATCTGTGTGCTGGTTGGGCATAAATGTCTGTCTGATACATGTCTTGTAGCTCAGAAACAGAGACCCAAATGACCGACCGAAAAAAGTCCTTGTAATTGGCAGAAAGCTTCACATGTCTGCTACCACTGGCCCCACTCACCAGAGTGTGGGACTTCAAAGCGGGAGCCATGCAGGATGCATGCTTTTGCTGTACTGTCTCGCTAAGTTTCCAGATGAAACAATGTTAAAGGTATCTAACGTTCTGAACAAAAATGTACCTATTTGTATGGCTACCAAAGTCCCTGACCTGCCGGCTGCTTCCTGCTGATCTCCAGAGGGCGCCAGTATGGGTTGGAAAGCTCAACATACGGATGTGAGATTAAAGCAGTCATGTGCAGGACCTGACGATTCCTTGGGTGAACCCAGTACCAGAGCATCATGTGTCAGCTCTGCATTTATGAAAGCCTCCTAGGATGGTGGGAAATGCCCATGATCTGCTGATGCCTTCCCTTGAGGGCCGTCCTGTCTACACACAGATGCAATGGACAGGGTCTCCAGGGGCAAGACCCGTAAACAAGGGGATAAAGAGATCACCACACAAATATGGCCACAACATGACCTTTTTCCACATAACTATCCGGGAAATTAACTCGGTCGATAAATGCTCGATGAAGTCAGATGTGTCGGCCGAAAAGTGCAAATATCGCAGCTTTGCTGTAAACAGGCACAAGTCATTTACGTCACTCGGACGACTAAAAGAAGAAGATAATATTTGGAAGTAAAACTTACTTTATTAGAATTAATTGTTATGATATCATTTATTATAGACTGGCAGTGGTATTTTTTAACTCATAGAATTATTCTAATTAGCTGCATATTTTGGAGGTAGCACATATTTTGCTGATAAAATAATAGTTACATTGTTTAGGAAATAAGTAATTTTCCTCACATAATTATCTTTGTTTAATATGTTTGAGGCCACACAGTTTATTAATCTTCTTCTTTCTTCTTCTCGTTCACCGGCTGTAAACTCCGGCGAAACGTTCTGGTTGTTCATCCACTTCTGGACTGCAGTCCTATTCCAGAACCTGAGTGTTGCATGTGCATCCATTTGACAGCTCTGTATGCAGACTGTTGGTTTCTTGCCTCTCAGGCACATGCCCTTTGAAGCTCCCAATTAGTCGACTCTTACGACATGCTTTTGGGTAGGCAGTGGGTCTGTTCTTGTTTTTTCCCTTAGTAGGGCCCCTGAACCCACACAGGGAGTTTATTATTAAATGTAATCGTATACATAACTTTTAATGCTTGAGGGCTATACATCATTTTGCAAATATAATTGAATGAGTTATTTATATTGTTTTGGCAGGCACACCTATGTTACTAAAATGATTGAACGATTTGTTAATAACATTTTACTCATATAATTTCATTTGTTAATGATTGGGAGGGCGTACTTATTTTTAGTAATATAATTGTATGACTTTTTATAACGCTTGGAAAGGTACAGTTATTTTAGTAAAATAATTATATGACTTATTTATAATGCATGAATGGGCATACTTATTTTCCTGATATAATTGTATGACTCGTTTATAAAGCTTGGAAGGGTACAGTTGTTATTCTTATATAATTGTATGACTTGTTTATAATGCTTGGAAGGAAACTCTCATTTTACTAAAATAACAGTATGACTCATTTATAAAGCTTGGAAGGGTACACTTATTTTACTAAAATAACAGTGTGATTTATAAAGCTTGGAAGGGTACACTTATTTTACTAAAATAACAGTATGACTCATTTATAAAGCTTGGAAGGGTACACTTATTTTACTAAAATAACAGTGTGACTCATTTATAAAGCTGGGAAGGGTACACCCATTATACTTACATAACTGTATGACTTGTTTATAAAGCTTGGAAGGGTACTTTTATTATACTCTTTTTATACTAATATAACTGTATGACTTGTTTATAAAGCTTGGAAGGGTACACCCATTATACTTATATAACTGTATGACTTGTTTATAAAGCTTGGAAGGGTACTCTTATTATACTCTTTTTATACTAATATAACTGTATGACTTGTTTATAAAGCTGGGAAGGGTACACCCATTATACTTACATAACTGTATGACTTGTTTATAAAGCTTGGAAGGGTACTGTTATTATACTCTTTTTATACTAATATAACTGTATGACTTGTTTATAAAGCTTGGAAGGGTACTTTTATTATACTCTTTTTATACTAATATAACTGTATGACTTGTTTATAAAGCTTGGAAGGGTACACCCATTATACTTATATAACAGTATGACTTGTTTAAAAAGCTTGGAAGGGTACACCCATTATACTTATATAACTGTATGACTTGTTTAAAAAGCTTGGAAGGGTACTCTTATTATACTCTTTTTATACTAATATAACTGTATGACTTGTTTATAAAGCTTGGAAGGGTACTCTTATTATACTCTTTTTATACTAATATAACTGTATGACTTGTTTATAAAGCTTAGAAGGGTACTCTTATTATACTAATAAAACTATGACTTTATAAAGCTTGGAAGGGTACTCTTATTATACTAATAAAACTATGACTTTATAAAGCTTGGAAGGGTACACCCATTATACTTATATAACTGTATGACTTGTTTATAAAGCTTGGAAGGGTACTCTTATTATACTAATAAAACTGTATGACTTGTTTATAATGCTTGGAAGGGTACACTTATTTTACTAAAATAACAGTATGACTTATTTATAAAGCTTGGAAGGGTACACTTATTTTACTAAAATAACAGTATGACTCATTTATAAAGCTTGGAAGGGTACACTTATTTTACTAAAATAACAGTGTGACTCATTTATAAAGCTTGGAAGGGTACACTTATTTTACTAAAATAACAGTATGACTCATTTATAAAGCTTGGAAGGGTACACTTAGTTTACTAATATAATTGCATGACTTGTCAGTTGGGGCCACCACCCATATGTTGGGAACTTGTGTGTTAAAGACACATTAGTTCTTTAAAACCGGCTCATGCTAAAGTATGTCATTGGCAGTGATGTCTATACTAATTGATTCTGTAGAAATCACAGTTATTCTTAATCCAGACATCTTTACTCCAGGTAAAAACTATACTATTTGTTTTATTTAAGTTATTTTTATACCAGTATTCTTTACTCCAAGCGGCGTCCATGGCTAAGGTGTTGCGAGTCTGACTCGTAATCCAACGTATCGATCGAAACCTGCGTGGGCTGCATGGATTTTTATCGTGGTATGGGACGTCGCAGGTCGACCCAGCCTCAAATGGGTACCAGGATGGGCTGTCCTGGGAAAGTAAAGACGGCCGGCGTTATGCTGACCACATTACCCACCGAGTGCCGATTGGTCTGTAAAAATATGGGTGCTCTTTCCATATGCCCGATGCGCCTAAGGGCGTGTAAAGGGATCTTTACTTTTACTTTACTTTAAATGTAAATGTATGCTAGTTACATTGGATTCATTAATGTTTATGCCCATAATTTACTCTAGGTACATTTTTTACTTATTATGTTTATGCCAGTAATATTTAATTCGTGTAACATGATACCAGCCATAATTTTATCAATTATATTTTTTTTCCATTTAACTTTTTCTTAATTAAAAGTAGGTTACTTGAAGCATATGTCATTGTATGTGTGTGTCAGTTTCTCCAGTTGAGCTTCTACTAGCCAGATTTCTGCCAGTTTTATTTACTCAATCAAGTAAACGTTTATACAAATCATATTTATACTTTTGTTTATACCATTTAAGTTTATACTAGCCACATTAGTCCCAGGTATGAGGGTGTTGTTGGCAATGAAAGAGCCGACAGATTAGCCAGCTCTGCTTTAGTTACAAAGGGCTGGCCCATGGAACATGCCGCTAGAGATGTAGGGGGATTGGAGGATTTAGGAAGCAGCACATCCACAACTTTGCTAAGAGTGCGAGAATTGGGAGTAAAGATTGGCACAGCCAGGCATGAGAAGCATACCGGACGCACAAAAAGTCTTGTCAACCAACATAGGACTGGGACCATCAACCGCGGGACGCTGATGTATGTGTTGAAGGGGGAATCTGAGCACCTATGGACGTGTCTGAAGTGCCGTGAAGATAACCCAAATCAAAACTCATAACTAGCCATATTTACATCACATTTTTTTTTTTTACTTCTCTCTCTTTTTTTTTTTTTTTTTTCAACTGTTAACTCCGGCAGAAAATTCTGGTAGTTTGTTCACCCCTGGACTCTAGTCCTCTTCCATAACCTGAGTGTTGCATGCACATCCATTTTACAGATCTGAGCCATTTTTATGCAGACTCTTGGTTTCTTACCTTCCAGGCAGATGCACTCCAACTTCAAAGGAAGCTCCCAATCAGTCGGCTTCTACGAGATGATTGTTGGAAAGGCAGTGGGTCTGATCTTGTTTTCCCCCACAGTGGGAGCCCACAACCCACACATGGGGAGGGTTACTCCAGTCAAGTTTATATGTTTAAAAAAAGGGGGGGGGGATTGGAGAGGGGGGGTGGGGTGTGTAAAGGACCCCTCTCAGGCCAGTGGCAAAGTGGGCATATGATACTTGACTTGTTTTATGATTGACCAATCAACATTCAATGGGTGATGTAGTCAGCAGCTTGCTGGCCGCCTTTACTTCCCAAGACATTACCTGGTACCCATTATAGGTTGTATTGACCTAGGATTCTAGATCCGTTTTAGAAAAATACTCGACTCAGTGCTAATGAAACCCATGACCTTCAGACAGGAAGGCGAGCATAATCAGTTTTATACTGGCCACATTAATGTTAGTTATGTTTACGTCAGTTATTTTAGTTTTGTTTACTCTAGCTGTCGGCTCTGTGGCTAAGTCGATGCGAACGCTTCGTAATGCCGGGATGCCGGGTTCGATCCCAGCTGCGGGCCATGCGCCTTGCGTTGGTTTCGACAGTTGTATCAAGAAAGTCGACCGTCCAGAAAGCGGTGGCAAACTAGTGGACATAAGTTTGCCTAGAAAAACCACACAACAGCCAGGGGCTGTTGGGGTTAGTTCTGCAACGTCCTGTAAAGAATACGCAACTGACCTCACTCTAGCTAAGTTGATACCAGGGCTTTTTTCTGGTGGTACCCAATCGTCTGCAGTACTGGCAGCTTTATAGGCATTATGTGTTCAGCGCTACTGTAATAGATGTTTTGCAGTGAGTACCAGCACCTTTTTTTGGGGGGCACACTTTGTGGTGGTTACTGGCAGCTTTAAAAAAAAAAATAAGAAAAGCCCTTATTTATACTAACCACATTTATTTACGTCAGTTTTGTTATGTCAGTTTTATTTAATCTCGCTAAATTTATACTAATCATATTCATTTAGGTCAGTTTTGTTTATGTCAGTTTTATTTACTCTCGCTAAATCATATTTACTAATCATATTTATGACAGTTATGTTTATATCAGTCACGTTAATAACATTTACGACAGTTTTGGTTTACTGTAGTTCAAGTCAAGTTGATACTCACCACATTAATGACAGTTTTTGTTGTTGTTTGTTTACTATAGATAAGTTTGTACTAACCACATTTATGGCAGTTATGTTTATATCAGTCCTGTTTTATCAGTTTTGTTTACTGTAGTAATCACACATAAGACAGTTTTTATTTACTCTAGCTACGTTTACACCAACCACATTTATGTCTTTTTTTTTCTTGTTAAAAACTATAGCTAAGTTTATACTAGACACATTTATGGTAGTTATGTTTATATCAGTTTTGTTTACTGTAGTAATCACATATAAGACAATATTTATTTACTTTAGCTACGTTTACACCAACCACATTTATGTCTTTTTTTTCTTGTTAAAAACTATAGCTAAGTTTATACTAGACACATTTATTGTAGTTATGTTTATATCAGTTTTGTTTACTGCAGTAATCACACATAAGGCAGTTTTTATTTACTTTAGCTACGTTTACACCAACCACATTTATGTCTTTTTTTTTCTTGGTAATAACTATAGCTAAGTTTATACTAGACACATTTATGGTAGCTATGTTTATATCAGTTTTGTTTACTCTAGTAATACCATATAAGACAGTTTTTATTTACTCTAGCTAAGTTTACACCAACCACATTTATGTCAGTTTTGTTTACTCTGGTTGAGTTTATACTGACCATATTTATGCCATACATGTTAACCTCAGTTGCGTTTACTCTGGTTAAGTTTAAACTGACCATATTTATGCCATATATGTTAACCTCAGTTGTGTTTACTCCAATGAAGTTCATGAAGAAAAAAACTATTGACTAGCATAGAAAATGTTGAATATTTAATTGTGTAATGTTTCTGTCCAGTGACAGTGTCAGTTTCACAACAGCCTTGTTTTGTCAGAAGCCATATTTTCCTTGTTTCTTTCAGATGGACCTCTTTGTTCTTTGGAGACAGAGATGGGAGACTGCTGCAGGGCTCCGAGGAATCCTTGGACACCGCTGTCACATCACAGGATAAGGTATCTGTCTGTGGGTTAACAATAGTAATGGACCCTTTTCCACGTCTTCAGGCGTGTTGGGTGTATAGGGCTAGACCTGTGTTTTATCTCTGTGAGTCCCAGGGGGTTTAATGTCAGAGGCTTAAGGGGTGGTAATTAAGTTTTGAAGAAATTTCATAAGTGTTACACATTAAAACAGATCATACTAATTCTACTGCCGTGCATCACACAGACATATTATACATCAAAGTGACCAGGGATTGTTGGGGAATAATAATAGAATACTGCTACAACAGAAAATGGTGTTAGTAGTTAAGTATTAGTAAATAAAAATATGATTTGTTTAGAGAAATTAGTAAAAATAAATAAAAAAAATGTCCACTTACCACTATTGCACTAAATGAAAACTCAATAATATATATAAAAATGAATCAGAAATTAATGTGGACCACTTAGTAATACATAAATAAAATATAAACACAATCTGTCTATTAGATCTCATTCCATAAAACTTTTAGTATATCAGCACATTTTTTTTTTTTTTTTGAGTAAAGAAAAGTGACTTCTGAAAACAAAAATTAGTATTTTCACAAAACATTAACTTTATATAACACTTAATTTCCCCGTAATTTTATAGCCTGTCTTGGTAAATAATAAGGGGGTCATTCTAGACCTAACTAACACTGAAGAATATTGGTTTTTCACTAAAATTTATTCTCTTTGTACCAGCTGACTTTGTTATTGTTGTAGGCTTTGCATGAGGTATATATCAGAGCTATCCATCTATCAGTGACTGAAACAAATCTACTTCATAACTTTCTTTGTCTAGCTTTGGTTAAATCTGATAAACCCCTGTTTTATTTTTTTTTTTTTTTTTTTTTTTTTCATCGAACACCGGCTGTGAATTCCAGTGGAAGGTCCCGGTTAATCGTCCGCTTGGACTTTTGGCTTTCACCTGGACCTGATTTTTGCGTGTACAACCGTTTTTCATTTCCCTGCCTCTTGGGCAGCTGTACGCCGACTTCGAAGGAAGGTCCTGTTTTATTTAAATATGAGGCTTCTAAAGATATAAATCGTGTTAGCATGCATGATGAAGTATGCTCGGAGGCCATATTGTTTTCACACACACACTTAGTAACTCGATAAAGCTCACAGTCATGCTACATTTTATTCCTTTAACAACATTTTCGAAAATCCCAGAAGGTCACCACATTTTACAGCAAACAATGAACGGGAAATCCCATTCAAAACTGCTGGTTTGCGCTGTTATACTGGCCAGTTGTAAATTAAGAAACCTTCACTCGTCACGGGCCGATTGGGTCGTTGGGTTGTAACCATTGGCACCTTATGTGTTCCTTGAGAATCAAAGAGTTTAAGACTAATTGATGTGGTCAACATCACTCTGGCCACCTTACTTTCCAGGACTTTACCTGGTACCCATATAAGGCTGGGTTAACATGGTGGGTGACAAGCACAGGATCTTTTTTTTTTTAGTCAGCAAATGGACAATACCTCTTTATACCTAGCCAGCAATTCTTCTTCTTCTACTTCGTTCGCCCTTAAAAAGACGTTTAACACATTGTATTCTAGTTTACATCTGTGATGTGGTATCTGTGCCTTTTGGTTGGTTATTTATTTTTTTTATTTACATCAGCTACGATGTGGAATTGAATCTAAGGCCTTTGGGCTTGCAGGCAGGCATCTAGCGCTTCTCTGAGGCGGCTTTCTTTGTGTGTGCTGTACACGAAAAAGAAATCATTGTCATCATTACACTGGTGGATGATGATAAGGCTGACACGGACAGGCCTCAAAAGTGCAGACATGATGTTGATTGCATCTGACCTACAGAGGTGGCCCGGGAGGGGGGGGGGGGGGGGGGAACTAATCAGAGAGTCAACAGCAGCTGGTGACCCTATAGCATTATAGTAGAACCTCGACTTCGCCAACATATGTTGAAACTTGTCGGTGTAGGAAACACGGAAGAGATGTCCCTGCAGTGTGGCAGCAGCAAATACTGAGCATATGCTCCAACACTGTCAACTGTATGCTGCAAACAGAGATGCAGTATGACCTGTTAAAAAAACAGAGAAGATAAAACTGTATGGTACACGAGATATGGTCTGCACCAGAGCTTTTATTAAACCTTTTGATAACAGTTTTCTGACAGAAGGATCAAAGAAGAAGAAGAAGATTACAGCTCGTCTTGTAATTGTAAGAAACTTGCAAAGCAAATCTAGGGAAATCAGAAACTAGTATACTGTGCATAGAGTGGTTTACATTGACGTGTAAGACTTGGCTTAAAGTCAGTTATTTGTCCAGGAACAATGGGTGTTCGGGACACTGAGCTGGTTGATAGATTGGCTGCTGCTGCACCTGGATCAGAAAACTGATCATACAGTCAACAGCAGCTAGTGACCCAACAGCATGCTGGGCTATCAGACCACGATGATGATTGGATTCAAATTTGGTGCTGCAGAAGAACAGACACTGTATCCCTTACCTGGTGAAGAGTGATCCAGCATTGAGTGAGCAGAAGATCTGGATGAGACTCAGTATGCAGTCGAGGAGAATAGACACACTTTTTAATCAGGTTAATGTGGAAAGATATCAGTCCAAATGAGAAGTAGATCTACTCCTCAGTGTCACATTATCACAAATGTTGAATGTTGAATCAAGAATCTACATCACAGCACTCAGGACCCCCTTAGGCACTCCGTCCCCATTTTCAGCAGCAAGCATTTTTCTTTTAATGCTTCCTTGAATAATAATTAGGAGAAGACGTTGATGTAGTCAATCACCTTAATTGGTGATTCATTTCATGTATGAAGGGAGCATGTTTGTTAACTTATTGTTATTGACTTTCGTTTTTTAAATATATATTTTTTTCCACAGGGATTGTTCAGATGGATAGTGGCTTTCTGGAAACTGAGGTAATAACTTCTGGTTGTGTGTCTGTCAGTTTGTCTGTCTAAAGCAGTGGTCTCCAACCTTTTTCAGGTCATGTCCCCTTTGAGTACAGGGCAAGAGTACCCTTCCCCCCTCCCAATGCCCTCTTGATTATTTAGCGACCCCCACATCCCCCCCCCCCCCTCAACTATTCTCAAACTATAATTATATGTTATTATGTTAACAAACTTCCGGTCAAAATGGACGCTAGGCACAGCCACTGTTTTGAGCCACAGCAACTTTTTTTGGGATTCTGCCAGACGGTGGCCGGTGCATTTTTTCTCTGTTTGTAGACTGAAAGGATAGTTTCGTCGCCCAGCTTCTGAGTTGAGTGCATGGCATGACACTGTGAGCTGCTGATTTTATTTGGAATGTTTTTCTACTGTGACCAACGTGGTGGTGTGAATTGAATATTCAGAAAATGGTGCAGTGCCTGTAGTCGCAATATTGGTGGTGACATTATGTAATTAAAATTGCAACTGCTGATCTGTTGGTGACGTCTGCTACTATCTATGATGAACTGCATTTCTAATGTTGAACTGTTTGTGTTAGCACTTCTGATGGCTACCGTATGCTTTTAATGTGTGTGTATGCTAGTGCATATGCTGAGGCAGCAGTATGTCAGTCTTTCCACAAGGGACTGTGATAAACATTATGTGTGTTTTTTGTTGGCACAAGAACGGAGCAACTATGGGGTGACCTGTTTGCTATGAAGCTGAAACTAAGATTACCAGATATTATTTAGATTTTCAGTGAAAAAATTTTGGTTTGTAAATAGTTTGGAAAAAAAAATTATTTATAATTTAACTAAAACAAAATGTTAGTAAAATGGATTATTACAAGTGCAAATGCACTTACTTTGAAAATGGCTTGACACTTCTCCCAGAAGTTTACTGGCTTGCTTTCAGGATGTCTGACTGAGTGGCTCAGTTAATTCAGGGCTGTCAGCCTGTACAATATGCGGCATCTGCTTAATATTATTTGTACTTGTCTGAGAAGGCTAGACATCGGTTCCACTGCCCCAGTAAAGTGGGAATGTCAGTGGATGGTGGTATGCCATCCTTCTTTTACTTGTTAGGGAGTTCCATACGTTTCAGACTAAAGTTGAGAAGAAGTCAGGAGGATCAACGTCATAACACCTGGTCTTTCTCATATACTGGGTATTTCTCTGTGGAATGTCTAGGTGCCTGCTAACAGCATCACATAAAGGATGAACTCTGTAGCTTCAGTGATGATCCCAAGGGATAGTCCAGACATTTCTCTTATGTCTTTGCCGTTCTTGAATTCGTCCTGTGTAATGTTCATCAGTTTCCTTAGGCAGTGTTTTTATTGGTTTTTGGAATGCATTTAACGTCTGTTCCATGTTTAGTGTTTCTGCAACTTTAACTGCCATATGTTAAAATGGAACTAGCGTTAGGATTGAAAACATGCAGCTTGGTTTTACTTACTTACTTAGTCGCTCCTCTTCTACCTTGGGGTGTAGAGGTTTGCCAGAGAGATCGTCACTCTTCTCTATCAGCAGTTTTCTTTCTGGCTTTGTTCCATTCCAGTCTTCTGTCAGTTAGGGACTGTCGGATGTTGTCTTCCCAGCGCACCCTGGGTCGTCCCGGAGGTCTGGTTCCCTGGTTCTTAGCCTCCCATGCTTGCCATGGTGGCCGCTTTTCTCCCATTCTGCATACATGTCCAAACCATCGTAACTGTGACTGATCTACTCGGGTTACTAAGGGCTGGATATCAAGATCTTGACGTATTGTCTGATTGCGGACTTTGTCCCTTCTTGTCACTTGGACCACTTTTCTCAGGTATCTCATTTCCGAGGCCTGCAGCTGGCTTCTGTGAGCTGTTGTAGCTTGGTTTTAAAATTATATAATTTAAAGTTCCTTATTTTGTTGAAAAGACTTTTAGGTTACAACGCCAATGTATATTGCTTGATGCTTTCAGAGATGTGGACATTCTCAACAAGTGTGGCCGAGATGCTATGCAGTACCTGTCCTTTCAGCGTTACTTGATGATCTACGTGGCCATTGTGACAGTGTTGTCCGTGGGTGTTGTCTTGCCCATCAATTTCCAGGGAGATTTATGTAAGTCTCTTCTTCTTCTTCTCGTCCTCCTTCTTCCTCCTCCTCTTCCTCTTCCTCCTCCTCCTCTTCTTCTTCTTCTTCTTCTTCTTCTTCTTCTTCTTCTTCTTCTTCTTCTTCTTCCTTCCTTCCTTCCTTCCTTCCTTCCTTCCTTCCTTCCTTCCTTCCTTCCTTCCTTCCTTCCTTCCTTCCTTCCTTCCTTCCTTCCTTCCTTCCTTCCTTCCTTCCTATTCTTCTTCTTCACCTCATTTTCTTCAGCTCTCTTTCTTCTGTCTCCTTTTCCTCATCCTCTTTTGTCACTTCTCCTTCTGCTACTCGTCTTATCCTTCTCCTCTTCCTCAAACCCCCACCCCCCCACCCACTTTAAAAAAAAAACAACAACAATGAGTGAATCCCACAACTGTGGAATATTGTAAATTATACTTAAAAATAACATTGCTTCAAGAACATGTTGTAGTTGTCAATCATCAACAGATCTAATTGGGTATGGCTAGCAAATAGTCTGATACATCAGTATACATTTGTCTTATCCTATCTTTATTCTCACACAGTGGGGACAGCTGTTGACTTTGGGCACACAACCATTGGAAACCTGAGGCAGGAGTAAGTGTTCTTTGTTACTGCTAACATTGTGCTGATATCTTGTACTCTTTTGTTACTGAGTTCTTAGCGCTGTTATCTGTTTTTGTAACTGTGTTCTTAGAGCCGTTATCTGTTTTTGTTACTGTGTTCTTATAGCCATTATCTGTTTTTGTTACTCTGGTTTAAGAGTCGTTATCTATTTTTGTTACTCTGTTCTTAGAGCTGTCATTTTTTGTTTTTTGTTGAACCATAACACTGTTATGTCATCTGTTTTTGTTATTCTGTTCTTAGAGCAGTCATTGTTTAAACCATATGGTATGTCATCTAATTTATCAACAATCTTAGCACGGACGGGCCGATTATCGGCCGTCGGATGTCTGGCCAAAAACACGGAACAGCCGATCATCGGCCCAATCGTGTTTCGCCTTGACATGCTAAGAAATCTCCTATTTTGAAACACTAAAAGTAATTCTTTTATATTCACTGCTGTATTAGCTTTACACATGGCGACTTTCGAGTGTTTGGTATCGAAGTGAAAATTGTTGTTGAATTTTTTAGATAGTGACCCGAACCGCTAAAAGTATGTCTGACTCGTATGTTTCTGCCCCTAAACTTGATGTTGATAAAACATTTGAATCAAGTGATGACACTAATTCTGTTGATACTGATGCAGGATCTAGTGTTAGTGATATTGGGAAATCAGATGGGGACGCTGTTGTGTTCAGACCACAGCCCAACCATGGCTCAGGGTATATCCACCCGAAGATGTTGACACTCCGGCACATCCATTTCTTGTGCTGACTGATGGTCAAAAACACATGTCACCTAAAGATATTTTTGCTGTTTCATATATATATATGTAAATGCCTGTTTTTGACTATTGAAATGCAACATTTGTAAAAAGATCAATAAAAAGATTTTAAATAAAATATATTTTTGTTTTTAGTTATGTGTTTCATGCATTGAAGTTGAAAATTCACATTCTAATTAAAAAATGTTAGATATGCAAATGAGATAATTTGCATATACATCAATTAATTTTAACGATATTTGGAAAATCATGAACTTCAATCTATATCCTTCAAATAGATATATTATTTCAGGGGGTCAGAATAACAGAAATATATCAAAAAAATAAAATTAAGTTATAACTAAATTTACTGAAAAAATGCTCCGTGTTTTTGGCTAGACATCTGAAAAACTTACCTTGCTAAAAGGGTTAATGCTATCACCGTGCTGTCATCTGTTTTTGTTACCTCTATCATTGGTCTGCCATCTGTTTTATTATTGCTAGCACTGTGTGTTTGCTGTCATCTCATTTTATGACAGCCTTTGATAGTTCTGTTACCTGTTTTAATTTTATTTAAATTAATCCCATTTTGTGGCTAAGATTATATCTTTCATGACAGAATGAGGTTTTACAAAGATGAAAATGCCCCGCCCCACACAAACTAAAGGACAGGGATGTCTCTCTTTGCCTGTTCTTTACTCTGTGACCTGTCTGGCTTGGGAGGCAAGGCTAGCACCGGCCTAGCTTCCAGGGTTATTGAGAAGCACCGGCTCTCCCATCATGCCAAGCTGAGGTCCTGCTTAGCCTAAACATTGTGGAGATAGTATCTTTTTCTTCTTCTTTTTCTAGCCTCTTCTTCTTTCTCTTTCCTTCTCTGGTCCTATTCTGTCTTTCAGCATCAGGTTTTGAAGAGGTGCCAGGTGCAAGCTTTGATATGTGTTACGTAGATGCTGTAATTATGGCCTCTGATATTCCATCTATCCATCGCTTGCGTGGATCAGACCTTAGGTTGCTTCCATTATGTCTAAGTGACAGAGCTCTCTGTGACTTACTATCCAGTGGTTCAGATATAGCACCATGTATCTAAAATATCTCAAGATCCGGGAAGTTAACCAGGTCACCAAGTGCTTGTTGAAGTCGGATGTATCGACCATAAGGTGCAAATATTGCAGCTTTGTTGTAAACAGGCACAATGCAATTATGTCACAGATGAATGAAAATAAGAAGAATAAATCCCTGTAGATTGCAAATGGACCCTTCTGCAAGATAATGATGACCGAAAAACAATATTTTTTCACTGAATCGCCGACACAGAGTTCACTGACTGATGTGACAGAGTTCACTGACTGATGTGACAGAGTTCACTGACTGATGTGACAGATTCCCTGACTGATGTGACAGAGTTCCCTGACTGATGTGACAGAGTTCACTGACTGATGTGACAGAGTTCACTGACTGATGTGACAGAGTTCACTGACTGATGTGACAGAGTTCACTGACTGATGTGACAGAGTTCACTGACTGATGTGACAGAGTTCACTGACTGATGTCACAAAGTTCCCTGACAGATGTGATTGTTTACTCCTCCAGCAATCCACTACTTTGGGTGCACGCTGTCATGTCTGTTTTGTACCTGGTCATTGTTATTGCTGTCCTGAGCCACTTCCGCCTCAATCTGGACGTGGAAGAGGATGAACAGGTAGGCTTGTGGTGTTGTTATCTGGAAAAGATTTGCTGCACTTTGCATTGTTTTTTTCATCATCTTTCTGTCAGCCTGCCTTCTGTCTGTCTGTCTCACCCTCTCTGTCTCTGTCTCACTCTCTCTGTCTCTGTATATTTGTCTATCTGCCTCTCTCTCTCTTGCTATCTCTCTCTTTATATTTGTCTTCTCTGTGTCTCTTCCTTTCTGTGTTTATATCTTTTAGTGTGTGTTTATCTATCAGTAAGCCTCTCTCTCCCCTTCCCTCTCTCTCTCTCCTTCCCTCTCTCTCTCTCTCTCTCTCTCTCTCTCTCTCTCTCTCTCTCTCTCTATCTCTCTCTCTCTCTCTCTCTCTCTCTCTCTCTCTCTCTCTCTCTCTCTCTCTCTCTCTCTCTCTCTCTCTCCCCCTCTCTCTCTCTTTCTTTTTCTCCATCTGCCAAGCTTCACATTCATCCACCTTCTTTCTTTCTCATAAAAAATTACCAGTCATGAGTGATTTGTTGATGACAAGAAGTCTGATCTCTGAACTGATGTTTCAGGTGAGCCGGACACTGATGATTTCAAACATTCCCAAGAATAAGTGCTTCCACAGCCCAATACTACAACACTTTCAGTAAGTGACACTTGTCAAGTCTGTTGACTGATTTCACTGTCTGTAGTGTTTACGTGTGTACTGAACTATCAAACACATCAAACGACAGGGTGGATTGGAAAGCATACAAGCCGAGTGCCTGGTACTGGGTAATAGGGGCAGGGGCTGACCAGGGGCACAGGACATGACACCTTGGGTAGGAAAGTGTGTGAGGTGGGAGAGCTGGCAAGGTATGAGGTTTCTTTCAAGAGATGTTTGGTAAAGAACCTGCTACATGATGATAATGATGAAACTGAAGGCTCTTGCAGGCAATATTATTGCTGAGCACTGTAGAGATATGTATCCAGAAAGCACTGCTGGAACTACATTGGCCCCGCACTCAGAATGGCTAAGACAAGACTTCCCCATCAAGCCCTCAGATGGACACCGGAATAGGGGAAATACTGATGCATGATAAGGCAGATATGGTTAGTGCCTTGTGAGAGAGAGTGTACAGTTTGGAGGAGCAGATGGATCACCACAGTCTGGTGAGATTGATGCAGCGGGGAGTGACGAGGGGTTCTGGCAGATGCTCGAGGCTCAGAGGAAAAGCAAGACGGGTGTTTAATCAGAAGGCTACTGGCACCATTAGTATCTGAACTTTTTGCTGGCTGCTGAAGATGGGGACAGAATGCTTATGGCAAAGCCCTGAGTGCTGTGATGTCTTGAATGAATCAACTCAACTCATGAATACCAGAAGGGAAAGGAAAACGGGGAAGACCAAGAGAGACCCTGAGTAAAACTATCATCAGGGAAGGCTCAACCTTGGGCCAAATAAACATCCAAGACCTACAACAGGTGGCAACAAACAGCCAGACATGGAGAGCTGTGACCTCTGCCCTGTGCTGCACCCTAGGCTGAAGAGGAAAGACTGACTAACTGTAGAGATATTAGAATATGTAACTCTCCATGTGGATTTTGAGGCTTTATTTGGAAGGGGTAGGGGAGAGAGAATAGACCTACTAGTTCCCTAACAGTTATTTCATAAAAGGTGACTTATTAGGATTTGCTGAAATTGGATATGTTAGGCGAAAAGACACAGATAACAAAGCCTAGCTGTAAACTACAGCACAGTGTGCCAGCCAGCTAATAAAGGGTAACCACATAAAAATAATATGAAATAACTAGTTATCCTATGTTGAACGTGTGGTAAATTGATGATGTCAGAAATTGAACAAATGAGAAAAAAAATTGAAATGTAAAATATATTGTTTACAACATGAAGATATTAATATTTAGAGAGATAAGCAGTAGATTATCAGTGGCAAATGACAGATATTATATACTGTTTGAAAATAAAAAAGGTTACGGTTAAAAGAATTATGGTTTGGTCTTTACAGACCGGCTAGCCACCTGCCAAGAGCACCAAACAAAGAACAAACACTGGTGGTGATCCCCAGGGTTTGCATTCATGAACCGAACAAACCGTGAAACAAACCGACAACCTTCAGAACATTGTTAATATAATATATAACCAACCTTACTATATGCTGCAGAAACAGTCCCAGTGGGCAAATAATTTGAAAATTACAGAGGTCCTGGATATGTGGATGTACAGTAGCATATTTTTAGGATGAGAAAATGCACCCTGAAAGTTAATGTTACAACAGGGTAAAAAAAGCCCTTAGCTTGTGTCGGTAGCTGATCTAGGAGAACAGCTCTAACAGGAGAACAGAGCACTGCTCTTCTGATTCGGCAGCTTCTGCAGCATGCTTTGTTCCAAACATATTAATGTTACCTTTCCTTTGGAGTAAACAAGGCTGGCTGAGAGGTAGACCATGCTGTATGGGCAACATATTATGAGCTGTACAAGACCGCCCAGGTTTTGTGCTATGGAGAGGAAGAACTTTCTCCTTGGCCTCAGTTGCCCATCGTTATGGGCTGTGGTTTCCATGTCTTCCCATAGCACAGTATAACACTAGCATTTCGACTTATAGAAAGGTGCTAGCAAAGTCATATTTTATGGGAACAAACAAAAATGGCTTTTGTGAAAAGGTCTAGTTCCCATCATGTTATTATATAACAGTCAACGTCTCTGCAATTTGGGAATTCCCATGCATGCTTAGTCCTCCGATGCAGCAGTCACTCCAAGGTACTGCTACTAATTGTTCCCATGAGAGATTGGTTATAATGTCTCCCATCTCGACCTCAAAGGCGGTGTAGACCATGCTTCACCATGCTTCACTCCCATGTCACGCAATCATGTTAGTGTCAAAGATTTGTCATTATCCACTAGCCCAATCTGTACAGCGTTGGTGATATCTGCTCTGTCCATGCTTCTGCCCACATGCATTGGTGCATTGCTTGCCAGTTGGTCTGCTCGCTCATTACCCTCTACACCAGCATGACCAGGTGTGTAGATCCAGGTGGGGAAGGTTAAGTGCGATCACTGTCATAACAACTTGAGCTCAGTACCTGCCATTGAGGCCTCATAAAGCGTTGCTGTAGTATGTGTAATTCTCTCAGCACTTCACCTGCTTGCTGGCAGGGCCACGGCAGGAGGAGTGCATGATTCAGGAGATGGTGGAGAATCAGCAGCCTTGACAAAAACTTCATGTTGAAAGAGGTATTGCCAGATATGAACACTATATGCTCGTAGCCAAAGAAGACTAATAAACCAACACAGAACTGGTGTTATCAGTCGCCACACGCTGAGAGAGATACTGAAGATGGGATCCAAGTGCTTATGGACTTGTTCAGTGCGTGGTGAGGATGATCTATCTATTAACTAACTTCACACACATACAGAAAAATGCCAGATTGCTTTTACTTGCTGCTAGTTTAATCATGTACTGTATCTACAGAGAAGCCTACCCAGAAGCCACGGTGACAGACATTCAGTTTGCCTATGATATTGCTGATTTGGTATTTCTAGACAAACGAAGGTGCGGCCAGTTTGTATGTTCAAATGCTCCTCAACTTTCTCTGCCTCTATATCTTTTTCTTCATACTTTTCTATTTTTTTTTGTGTGTGTTATTTCTTTATACTCTTCTTTTCACACCCCTCATTTTAAATCTTTTTTACTCCTCTTCTTATGTTTTTATCCTTTTCCTTGCTTTCTTCCTCACATTTTTCTTTGTCCCCCTCTTCTTTATCCTCCCTTTTCACTTCTTACTTGTGTCTTATTTCTCTTTTTCTTACACTTCATGCTACTTTTTTCCTTTACTCTGCTTTCTCTTCATTTAATTTTTAACATCTTTGACAATCTCTCCTCCTCTTCATCTTCATACTCCACCACTTCTTTCACCTCTTCATCATCTTCCTCTTCCTCATCTTATTTCTATTTAGTTTCCCTTTCTCATTTTACTCTTCTGCTAGGTCTTTTCCTCTTCTTGTTCCTAATTTTCTTTAAATTTTTGTTCTTGTACTGGAAAAAAAAGGGCATGCACTGTATCCCAGTTACAGAAAACCACCCATAATTTACAATATATGATTGAAGTATACATTGACTCATGTGCCCACATCAGAAGTAGTTGATCCACATCCTTTAATCATATCTTGGGAAGGAGAAAACTGGAGTACATTGTGATGATGGGAAAGTAACAGGAAAAAAAAGGCAGAGGGAGACCAAGAGAGAAGATGCTGGACAGTTTGACAAGATGGTATGGAAGGTCATCGGTGTCAGAATTGATTAAAAGTACACAAAATAGAAGACTGTGAATAGACATGACTAGGAATGCTACATGGCATGGACTGTAAGAAGAAGAAGATGAAGATTGAAGCACATAATGTTTTAAAGCTCCACTTATTTTTTCTCATTTCAGCACAAGCTGTGCTTATTTAGGTTCTCTGTTTCTAATATATAGCCTGGGGGTTCATAGACAGCCTAGCATATAAAACACACAACATCCAGCATGAGAATGGAGGTGGAGGCAGTAACTGCAGCTCTCCGATGGCTAGAGAACAAGATGCATACACATGTTGTAATTGTAACAGACTGAAAGCATGCTGAGAAAGGTGAAGACAGGGATGCTTCGAGCAGAGTGGCAAAGGTCATGGGTGGTCAGCATACTTTGGATCTTTTCTTCAGGCTATGCCGGCATGGTGGGTAATGAACAGGAAGATAAATTGACTGGGTCTGCACCACTGGGTGGTGCATTGATACATGACAAGGCAGATGTAGTCAAGGACCTTTGGGAACAAGCAACGGAATCAGTAGAGAAACAATATTATTTTGGCCTAGAAAGATTGAGGTATCTGGGTGTAACCAGAGGGTCTGGCCGGCTCACTACACTTAGAGGAAAGGCGAGACGGACATATAACCAGATTGTGACCAGTACCATCAGTATTGGAACTCTGCGCTGGCTGCTGAAGATGAGGATGGAGCATGCATGGGAATGCCCTTAGTGCTGTGATGTCAGTTCTTAACTCAACTCAGTATGTAGCAAAGACTGCAGCCTTTGAAAGAAAAAAGTAAAGGACCCTTCGGATACAAGTGACATGTCAGGTGTCTGGCACTAGACTCATACTTTTTCTTGACCAGTGGGTACTCGATTCATACTGACCACCTTACTGCCCATAGCATTTCCTGGTATCGTATTAGGCTGGGTCAGACTGTCAGCCGACATCCTTTTTTTTTTTCATGCAGATTTAAACCTAAGACCTTTGGAGTGGTGGGCAAGCATCTAGCTACTGTGCTATCATGGCTTTTCTGAAAATATAATGAGGGCTTTATCAGTTGCAGACACCGCCACATTTGCAGAACCATAAGGATAGTTTTCCAGACTGGAATGATCTTTATTTGTTCAGACTGAAAGTTTTCCAGACTGGAATGATCTTGGTGTGTTCAGACCGATGGTTTTCTAGACTGGAATGATCTTGGTGTGTTCAGACTGATAATTTTCTAGACTGGAATGATCTTGGTGTGTTCAGACTGATAATTTTCTAGACTGGAATGATCTTAATGTGTTCAGACTGATGGTTTTCCAGACTGGAATGATCTTAATGTGTTCAGACTGATGGTTTTCCAGACTGGAATGATCTTAATGTGTTCAGACTGATGGTTTTCTAGACTGGAATGATCTTAATGTGTTCAGACTGATGGTTTTCCAGACTGGAATGATCTTGGTGTGTTCAGACTGATAATTTTCTAGACTGGAATGATCTTAATGTGTTCAGACTGATGGTTTTCTAGACTGGAATGATCTTGGTGTGTTCAGACTGATAATTTTCTAGACTGGAATGATCTTGGTGTGTTCAGACTGATAGTTTTCTAGACTGGAATGATCTTGGTATGTTCAGACTGATAGTTTTCTTGACTGGAATGATCTTGGTGTGTTCAGACTGATAGTTTTCTTGACTGGAATGATCTTGGTGTGTTCAGACTGATAGTTTTCTAGACTGGAATGATCTTTGTATGTTCAGACTGATAGTTTTCTAGACTGAAATGATCTTTGTGTGTTCAGACTGATAGTTTTCTTGACTGGAATGATCTTTGTGTGTTCAGACTGATAGTTTTCTAGACTGGAATGATCTTTGTATGTTCAGACTGATAGTTTTCTAGACTGGAATGATCTTTGTGTGTTCAGACTGATAGTTTTCTTGACTGGAATGATCTTTGTGTGTTCAGACTGATAGTTTTCTAGACTGGAATGATCTTGGTATGTTCAGACTTATAGTTTTCTAGACTGGAATGATCTTGGTATGTTCAGACTGATAGTTTTCTAGACTGAAATGATCTTGGTATGTTCAGACTTATAGTTTTCTAGACTGGAATGATCTTGGTGTGTTCAGACTGATAGTTTTCTAGACTGAAATGATCTTGATATGTCCAGGAAGCGAGCTGCTGAAGCGAGGATGTACTGTGAGATGGAGCACAGAAAAACTGGTCAGCGGCCAATGATGAGGCCAGTGGTGTGTGGGCAAATCTGCTGTTGCTGTGCCGAGGTGAGCCTTCTGTTAATGAAACCTAGTTCAGTGTTCCTCAGCCTTTCTGCACCAGCGGCCCACCAAAACAGGGGAGATAAATCTTGTATTGGTCAGGCAGGGTGTCCAGGTTTTGTACCTATTTGATTCAATTCTCATTATTGAAATTTTTTATCTAGCGGATTTAAATCCTTGAAGAGGCAAAACTACGGTGCCTCCTGTACCTTGATGCGTGATTTCTAAACTAGAATTGTTATCTTGGTGTGTTCAGAATAATAGTTTTTAAACTGGAAATATTATCTTAGCATGCTCAGAGTGATAGTTTTCAAAACAGGAAGGATCTTGGTATATTGACAATGATAGACTAAATTAGGGGTTCCTTCGAAGCCAGAGTGCATCTGCCTTAGAGGCAAGAAACCAGCAGTCTGCAAACAAGCCATATCTATCGAATGGATGTGCATACAAAACTCCAGTTCTGGAACAAGTTTAAAGTCCAGAAGTGGATGAACATCCAGAATTTTCCACCAGAGTTTACAGCTAGTGAACATGAAGAAGAAACTGTGTAACTATAAACAGCTGTATATAATTGTATTGTAACTGACTCACAGAGCATGTTGAGAAAAGGGGGAGACAGGTATGCTCTCTGCAAAGTGGCAAGCACCACTTTAAAGATCCTGGGTAGTTAGCATCCTTTTGGATATTTTTTCCAGTGATACGGGTGTGTTGGGAAATGCAGATAAAATGGCTGGTTCTGCTTAACTTGATGCATAACAAGCTAGATGTTGTAAGGCCCTTTGGGAGGGAGCAAACAGTGTGGAGGCACACGTGACAAGCTAGATGTTGTAAGGCCCTTTGGGAGGGAGCAAACAGTGTGGAGGCACACGTGACAAGCTAGATGTTGTAAGGCCCTTTGGGAGGGAGCAAACAGTGTGGAGGCACACGTGACAAGCTAGATGATGTAAGGGCCCTTTGGGAGGGAGCAAACAGTGTGGAGGCACGCATAACAAGCTAGATGTTGTAAGGCCCTTTGGGAGGGAGCAAACAGTGTGGAGGCACACGTGACAAGCTAGATGTTGTAAGGCCCTTTGGGAGGGAGCAAACAGTGTGGAGGCACACGTGACAAGCTAGATGTTGTAAGGCCCTTTGGGAGGGAGCAAACAGTGTGGAGGCACGCATAACAAGCTAGATGTTGTAAGGCCCTTTGGGAGGGAGCAAACAGTGTGGAGGCACACGCATAACAAGCTAGATGTTGTAAGGCCCTTTGGGAGGGAGCAAACAGTGTGGAGGCACGCATAACAAGCTAGATGTTGTAAGGCCCTTTGGGAGGGAGCAAACAGTGTGGAGGCACGCATAACAAGCTAGATGTTGTAAGGCCCTTTGGGAGGGAGCAAACAGTGTGGAGGCACACGTGACAAGCTAGATGTTGTAAGGCCCTTTGGGAGGGAGCAAACAGTGTGGAGGCACACGTGACAAGCTAGATGTTGTAAGGCCCTTTGGGAGGGAGGGAGCAAACAGTGTGGAGGCACACGTGACAAGCTAGATGTTGTAAGGCCCTTTGGGAGGGAGCAAACAGTGTGGAGGCACACGTGACAAGCTAGATGATGTAAGGGCCCTTTGGGAGGGAGCAAACAGTGTGGAGGCACGCATAACAAGCTAGATGTTGTAAGGCCCTTTGGGAGGGAGCAAACAGTGTGGAGGCACACGTGACAAGCTAGATGTTGTAAGGGCCCTTTGGGAGGGAGCAAACAGTGTGGAGGCACACGTGACAAGCTAGATGTTGTAAGGCCCTTTGGGAGGGAGCAAATAGTGTGGAGGCACACGTGACAAGCTAGATGTTATAAGGGCCCTTTGGGAGGGAGCAAACAGTGTGGAGGCACACGTGACAAGCTAGATGTTGTAAGGGCCCTTTGGGAGGGAGCAAATAGTGTGGAGGCACGCATAACAAGCTAGATGTTGTAAGGCCCTTTGGGAGGGAGCAAATAGTGTGGAGGCACGCATAACAAGCTAGATGTTGTAAGGGCCCTTTGGGAGGGAGCAAACAGTGTGGAGGCACGCATAACAAGCTAGATGTTGTAATTCCCTTTGGGAGGGAGCAAACAGTGTGGAGGCACACGTGACAAGCTAGATGTTGTAAGGGCCTTTTGGGAGGGAGCAAATAGTGTGGAGGCACGCATAACAAGCTAGATGTTGTAAGGGCCCTTTGGGAGGGAGCAAATAGTGTGGAGGCACACGTGACAAGCTAGATGTAAGGGCCCTTTGGGAGGGAGCAAATAGTGTGGAGGCACGCATAACAAGCTAGATGTTGTAAGGGCCCTTTGGGAGGAAGCAAACAGTGTGGAGGCACAAACGGATCATCACCATCTGAAGAGAATGGTGCAATGAGGAGTGACAAGGGGATCACTCAGGGGAAGGGCGAGATGGATATACAATCAGACTCTTATTGGAACCATAGGAATTGGAACTCTGCGCTTGCTGTTGAAGATGGGGGTGGAGCACTTTTGGGAATGTCCCGAGTGCTATAATATTGGTTCTTTAACTCATAACTCACAGCTGATGTTACAGGCAGCTGTCCAGGCATTTCTTTTATTTCTCCAGCTATTAATGAAAGCAGTCGTAATAATAGTAAAACTTTGATTAACTGTCAGGGTCCAGGGCTGTGACGGATTACTGAATAGATGGATAAATGAATAGATGGATAACAGACATCTCTTAATACATGTGTACAATAACATGATTTCACTGCGGGCTTGGGACAGAAATGAAAATAAAAAACTTTAAAAGTGATAATACTCACATATTATATTTAATTTTACAAATCAATCAATATAAACTTCAGTATAAGAGTAGTAATTTACAGAGATCTTTAGTAATACTATAAACCTATGTTACTTCAAAATAATCTGTCATCTCCTTTTGTATCTTCCGCCGTCATACAGTACTGTCACTTCCAGCTTTATAGAGTAGGGTGTACAAGTAATCTGTGGACAGTTTTAAAGATGTCTGTGCCTGGCTCTCTAGTGTAGTTGGCTAAACCGGATTGCGCGGTGACTGGGTGACGAACTCCTTGTGGTCCGGGTTCACTCCCTGGGGTAGGCAGAAAAGCCACATTTTCTCTCAGATTTACGGTATTTACAATGGAATCAAGGCCGAAAGGTTGCGAATCTATCATACCGAGCCTAAGGGTTAACAACTCATGGCTTTTGGATACTAAAACAAACAAACAAACAAAGATGTCTGTCTGTTATACAAGGGACGTGTACTGTCTGTCTGTCTGTCTGTCTGTCAGACAGCACATGTCCATTGTATAGTTTGCCACTTGTATAATGTGTCCCTTTCATACATATGTCCCTTGCATACATATGTCCCTTGCATACATATGCCCCTTGCATACTCATACAGTTTTTTAATTAGACGATGATGGATAACAAAAATTAACGGTTAATCAAAGTTTTGCTGTATTTGACTCACATGACGACTCCTCTCCAGGTGGATGCCATCAACTTTTACCAAGAGGAAGAGGCCAGGCTCAAGAAAGCTTGTGAAGAAGAGAAACTGTCAGCCTACCAGACACCGCTGGGCATTGCTTTCATCACTTTAGCCTCTGAGGGACAAGCACAAAGGTGGGGCTAAGTTCTCTACTTCTTCTTCTTTGCGTTCGTTTTTGTATGCTCAGATCAGACCATCAGGTGGGCTACCTCTATGAACTCGCATGTCAGTAGCAGGTCCTTCATCGTTCCTCATAGCTTGCTCTGCACACTTTGCTTTTGATGCCAGGTATCTTTTCAAAGTTGTAGGTAGAGTGGGCAGGTCTGCAGAATGTGCTCAGGTGTTTTTTGTTTTTCTGTACAAAAGTTCTCTTCTAATTTATATTGTTTTATGACCCTCTTTTAACTTGGCACAAAAACCCAATTTCAGCCATTAAACTTGGTAAAGGAAAAATTGTTCACTATTATAGGCACAAGCTCCTTTAACTCTTTCAGTCCCGGGGGTTTAGCATCAGAAGCCCAAGGGATAGTACATAGAAAGGTATAATCAGTGCATACTGCTTTCACTAGGCTTCTAGAAGAAACCTATGAATGTATGATGCGTTTCTTGGGGCTGAAAGAGTTAACCTGGCACCTTTAATCAAACTAGCCAGTCAGCCACTTTTTGTTTTTTTCCAAATATGACCTTGGCTCCCAGATCCTCCCAGCCTTATGGAGATACCAGGTAAAGTCCTGGGAAATAAAGACAGCTGGCATTATGTTGACCACATCACCCACTGAGCACCAATTGGTCTTTAAAGAGCACTGTCACTAAGACATAATGGAAGCAGAGCCAGTGATGGATAGATGGAATATTCGAAGCAATAAATACTGGCATCTGCATAGCACATACCAAGGCTTGCACCTGATGCCTTTTCAAAACCTGACACAAAAAGGCAGAACAGGATTAGAGAAGAAGAAGAAGAGGAAGGAAAAGAAAGACAAGGACGCCATGTTTTGAGCTAAGTGTGGCCATGTTTGGCCTTCAATCAGCTTAATGAGTTGGTTAAAGGCCTGTGCTCCAGTAGGGGTTAGAAAGGAAGAAGAAGAAATGGCTGTGTTGTGACTGCCACCTTTCCGTCAAACAATAGTGTTAATATTGTGCTATAGGAGACATTGAAAAACACAGCCCATGGCAATGACAAGTGTAACTAGCAAGACCCACCTGCATGTTTCTCCTCTTAAAAGTACCAAGCCTTAGCTGCATTATAGAGACCATGTATTGCCTATGCATCATAGTCTCTCTCTTTCTCTCTGCCCGCTTTATCTACTCCAAAGAAAAGAACACCAGTACGTTTGAAACAAATCAAGCTGCAGAAGCTGCTGAATCGTGTATGTGAGTTGTTTTTTTTTTTTTTAAATTATCTTGCAAATAAATACAGATTTCCTATTTTGTCTGTTCCAGAAAAAAAGCACTTTCTAGTTAAACTTTTAACAGGTTTTCTCAGTGTGTGTCTTATCCAGCATCTTTTCCTCACATCTTGATTCATTGATGTTTATTTAGTTCTCTCCACAAGCTCCACATTTGTGTTTCTCTTCTGCTGTTTTAAGTTAAGTACATTAATATATTTTATAGACCAATCAGCACTTGGTGGGTGATATGGTCAGCACCACCCCAGCCGCCTTTACTTCACCGGACTGTACCTGCTACCCACTTGGGGCTGGACAACCTGGAAACCAAGGGTAATATTTGAAAAAAAAAAAAAGATTTTTTTTCAGGACCCGAATCCATGACCCTCTGATCTGCAGGCGAATGTTTAGTCACTACACCACGGTGGCTCACTCCTACTGTTTACATTTTATAATATTCTTGTTGCTGTTAATAATTGATTATTTCTGATTTGAAACCATGCTAGGATCCGAACTGACTTCCGTGCCAACTGTAAGGGAACACACAATCCACAGATGTCCAGCCTCTACCAGGAGCTTCAGGTGCAGAACTGGATGATGCATTTTGCCCCATCTCCGGAGAACATCTACTGGTTAGTCACACTTTAGATTGTTGTTGTACAGTTATCAGTGCCAAACATGGACAGTGAGTAGGGCATTCATCATCATCATGTAGCAGGTCCTTTGCAGAACGTTACTCTCATCGCGGTCTGCCTGAAAGAAACTCGGTCTCTCGCCAGCTCTCCCACCTCATGTTCTTTCATACTCAAGGAGTCACCTTACATCCTGTGCTCATCTTCGTTTTGGTCGGCCACTGTCCCTTCTTCCTGGTACCATGCCTTCTACTGTTATTTTTTCCAATCCGACATAGAGCACTAGAACAGAAAATAATGACGTGTGAAATTCCCTGTCTCTGTAAGGTCACTAGCAAAACAAGAAGGGGCAGGGTTACGGATACCAGCATTAGAAAAAAATATGGAATAAGACCATGATTGAATGATATTGACAGACAAAGAATGAAATAGTTTGGCTATCTAGTGGGAATACAGATAGACTAAATTGCAGAGGGTATATTACAGCAAAACATCTAGGACCAAGGCGGGGCCAAGACCAAGAAAGAGATGGATAAATGGTGACAGGATGAGTCACTTGATACATATTTTTTCAGGCCCTGGGGAATGCATTCCATTCAATGCTTCACCCTGTTTCTGTTTATTGATTACTCTCTTCATATATTTTTATGTATTTGCCCCTCAGAAATGTAAATAAATAATGTTGTTGTTTGTTTACGAATTTATTAGTAAACTGTTAAAAAAAAAAAAAACTTTTTTTTCTGGAATTTCAATAGTCATATTGGTGTTTTTTTTCGCGGTGGGGGGGGGGGGGGGGGGGGGGGGGGGTCCTGTGTCAAGAGGGTAACCATTTTGCCCCCTATGTTCTGCAGGTTTTGTTTCTAGTAATTCTAATTAACTGATGTTCTTTTATCTATAAAATGAAGATAATCTTATGGAAGATGCAGCCAGACAGTTGTTAAGTATTAATCTTTGTACTGAAAAAGAAAGATGGAAGCCGCAGTGACGTAGCAGCTAGTTGCTCGCCTGCTAGCCCCAAGATCTTTTCTTCAGATCCTCATTGGGTTCCCGCCTCCCCTCACCTAACATTGACCTTGGCTCCCAAGTTTACCCAGCCTAAAATGGGTACCGGGTAATGTCTGTGAAGGTAAAAGTGGTCGACCAGATGTTGGCCAAATGACCAGTGAGTGCAGAATGGTCTGCCACAACATGCCTGATGTGTGACTGGCCCCCCAAAAATGGTATTAAAGTTACTAAAGAAGAAAAGCGTTGACTAAGAGCACATCAGCACACCTTGGCTGTGCCTTGTCCAGATGGATTGGTTTTTCTTTGCTGTTTATACATGTTATTTTCTATTTTGTCTATGTATATATATATATATTATTGGAGGTGTCTGTGGCTTAGTCGGACTCGTTATTCCAACGTACAGTGAATGAAATCCACTGCTGGCTGTGTGGATTTTCATCATGATATGGGACATTGCAAGTCTAGTCTTCTTCCTTGTTCACTTTTTGAAAAAATGATAATAGGCAGAGTGTGTTGTAGTCTACAGTTAGGCTGCTATATCTGCAGCTTTCACCCTAATACGTCTGATTTCAGCAAGTCCCTAATTAGCTTCCTTGTATAATATGATTTCCCCATATTGGTTCTTGAGCCCAGTTATGGGCAAAACAAGAATAGACCCATTGCCTACCCAGAAGCTTGTCATAAGAGTCAACTGATTGGGAGCTTCCTTCAAAGTTGGAGTGCAGTTGCCTGAGAGGCAAAGAACCAACAGTTTGCATACACATGAGGCAGATCTGTAAAAAAAAAAAAAAGGGTGTACATGCAACACTTAGATTCTGAAACAAGACTAAAGTACGGTGGTGAACAAATACCCATAATTTTCTGCTGGAGGTTACAGCTGGTGAATGCGAAGAAGAAGAAGAGGATAATATGATTTTAAGAGCAGTGGGTCTAATATCTTTTTCGCAAAACAATGGAGCCTCTGTAACCCCCATTGGCTGACGCTGTAACAGTGACAGTCTGTAAACTTTGTACTTTGGCAGGGAGAATCTGTCAGTTCCAGACTGGCGATGGTGGACAACGGCTATCTGCATCAACGGTATCCTGATTGTCATCTTGTTTTTCCTGACCACACCCATCATGTTCCTACATCTCTTGGACATGCTCAACATTGATATCAAGAAGCCGGTGGAGAATCTGCATGTGAGTGTTCTCAGACTGGAGATTGTGACATTACAGTTAGGATAGGTAGCTAGCTGGTCTCAAGCAGATATGGGTGATCAAACAATATCTAGTTTTCTTCATGGGTCTTAAGCAAACATTGGTGATCTTCAATATCTAGTCCTCTTCAGGTCTCTTCTCTAGACTAGACATTGGCAAGCCAATCATAACTCTCTAGTATTCTTTAGGTGCCTGGTGTCAGGAGGCAGAAATGTACGGGTCCAGATGGGGGTAATGTTGACAGTTCTAAACTGGGGAAGTATTAAGGGTACTAGCTCCCAGGTCAGAAGTCATTGCTATGGGGGATATATTACCACATAATTATTGAGCAGTCACAGGACGACAATCATAGATCACTTGCATTCCCAAGATAGCAAGGACAGCTCAGAGGTATATTGCAAACAAAGTTCACTTCTATAATTCAGCCTTTATTTGTTGACTTTTACCATTGCATTGCAAGCCTGTGTTGATAAGACAAACAATACAACAGTTCACAACAATGCTTCTCCCATTGTAAATTTGAATAAAGAAGATTCAAACGATAGATTGCACAATTGATTGCCTGACATAATCCTCTGTATCTTGTCAGGTGCATACTGCAGGAGCAGTTACATAAATTAAGCAAATAAGTGTAGCCTTTATAACCGAAGTAAAAATTCAAAAACAGTCAAACCAACATTGCCTGTTTTACCAGGGCAGCAGCAATGTCAGAATCATGTCTTTCTGTTTACACAGTTCAGAACAGAGGTAACGAATCATGGCAGCTTCAAGAAATCTTAGCATTCTGCCATTGGATAACGTGTAGAAGATTGGAGATGTGTTGTCCTTGGCACTTTATTGTTTGTGTCTTCTTTGTGCAGAGGTACAACAGTCAATTAAGCTCTGTGGACACAAGGTTGGGCCACAATTTTTGTGCTATCCAAAATTCCTTGCTCCTTGCTGTGGCTGCTGTGTCCAGTCATATGGGACTTAACTCACAATTGTCGTCTATCACGCTAGACATATTTATGGAAATATCGGTACAGTACTAGTGGCACTTGTACACATTAGTCTATTCTTAGTTTAAATCGACCAGCGTGAAGATTTGCACAGGATATAAATGACACCTTGGGTAAGAAAGTACATGGCATGGAAGAGCTGGTGAGAGACCAAATTTCTTTTAGGCAGTCCGAAATGATTGTGACGTTCTGCAGGGGGCCTGCAACATGATGATGATGATGTAGAGGTACTGATTACTAGTGCTGTTATTCAGAAATAAGAAGACTCATAGTTGAGTCTCTAATCAACCCGAAGTACTGACATGTGTGTTCTTTAAAATATACACACATTGCTTGTGTAAATCAGACAAACAACTGGCCAAGCAATTGAGAATGCTGAGAGAACCAGGTTCGGTTCATTGGTACATTGATGGATTTGTTTTTTTCTGTTGGAGGCATGAAAAAAATCTTAACCTTTACAGTCCATTGTGACTGCATAAGCCCTGCAGCCCCAAAGCTGTAGGTTGCAAACCCCTCCCCCCCCCCCCCCCCCCCCCACTTTACTCGACCTACCCTGCTCCCCAAAAAGCAATAAATAAGTCAGTAATTACACTTTTACTTGTGTTAATCATTGCATCTCAGTGTTACTTTTACTTGTGTTAGTCATTGCATCTCAGTGTCAGGTTGACTTGCACGAGGAGCTCTTTAATGAACAAATATAAAATATAATAGAAATTTGCAGTAACCGTGCCATTGTCTTGCGACTTTTAAACATTGTTAAGAATGTCACGATTGTTAAGACCCTAACATCACAGTGCACATGGACACAGTGACATCATCATGAAAGTTCAAAGATGGCTGTCCCACTTTTGACATGCACTAAAGAGGAGCAGTTCTATCTTGAAGCCTTCTCATATGAGAAAGGAATTAATGTTGGTGTAAATTTTTTTTTAGTAAACATAATAACTTTATAACTGACAGTGGCTTTAATTCTTGGTGTTGTCTAGAGCGCCTACCTGGTCCAGTTCTTGCCTACCCTACTGCTATGGATCTTCTCAGCCTTGTTGCCTAACCTTGTCTACTGGTCCGACCAGTTGATTGGGCACTGGACCAGGTGAGTGTTGTAGACAGAAAGAAGGGGAGATAGATAGATAGAGAGAGAGAGAGAGAGAGAGAGAGAGAGAGAGAGAGAGAGAGAGCAAACTTTTTTTTTCCAGAGGGTAAAGAATTTGGCATGCAGACCAATCTAACATTCTGCCCTTTTAGTCTGGTAAAAGGTAAAGTGGCGGCGATCAGTTTTACGGTGGCAAGGAATCGGATCCCCATGGTTCTAGAGGAACCGGTGAAGAGCCTTGATCGCGTTTACAATTCGAAGTTATCTGATAGAGCGGAGGTCCGGCGAATACACAAGTCACTGGCTACAGGCCTGCTCGCAATCGAGCGTAGCAGGCTAGTCGGGAAGTTTAAGGTCTGGTATCTCCAATTTATGTTGATCCCAAAGCTCCTCTGGCCACTGCTCGTCTACGAAGTGATGATGACGGCAGTGGAGGCAATGGAGCATAAAATCAACACAACCATGGGGGGGGGGGGGGGGGGGGGGGGGTTAAGGTTGGTGAAGTTTCAAGGGGAGAATCAAGCAGCTTTGAAATTTAGTGTGCATTGTACCTGAAATATCTTTTAACAGTGAGCAAAAACAAAACATCGCTGCTAACTTTATGTAGAGAGGGAACTCCATTGTGCCTTGTCCAACTTCAGACCAAAAATAACAAAAATCATCAAGGCACTGATCCACTTTACAAAACCATGTCAACCATCATATTGATATTTTAGAAATTACCAGTTGTTGGTGATTGTTTCTTTGTTTGTTTTGTTATTTGACACTGAATAATATGGTGTTTTTTTTTTTACCAGTACTTAAGACATAGTCGGCTCTGTGGCTAAGTCGATGCGCAAGCTTCGTAATGCCTGGATGCCAGGTTCGATCCCAGCTGCGGGCCATGTGCCTTTTGTTGGTTTCAACAGCGGTATCAATGGCAAACTACTGGACGTAAATTTGCCTAGAAAAACCACACAAAAGCCAGGGGCTGTTGGGGTTGGTTCTGCAACGTTATGTAAAGGATACGCAACTAATCTAACTTAAGTTTAGCGCCAGCTGAAAAAGCTCGAGCCCACTGGTCTAGACAGAGAAAGAGTGGTATAAAAAAACAGTGAATTAGAGGTGTAGAAATATAGAGAACAGTAAGAACACATAATGGATGACACACGAGGAAGATACACACAGCAGACAACATGAGGCAGACCCATACAAGGCTGACACACACAAGACAGACAGACATGAGGCAGACATAGACATGCAGATACACAAGGCACACACACACGAGGCACACACACATGAGACAAACATAGACAACGCAGATACACAAGGCACACACACACACACACACACACACACACACACACACACACACACACACACACACTAGGCACACACACATGAGGCAGACTGAAGAAGAAGCAGTGTCTTCTGTTCTGTTGTATTTAGTTTTCTCACAAAGAAGTTTTGCTAGTGCATCTTTACAAGATATATTTGTTTATTCTTTATTTTTCAAATTGCGTTTGTCTTTTATTACAGAACAGCAGAGCATCATTCAGTTATGAGGAAAACTTTCATCTTTCTACTTCTGATGGTTCTCATTCTTCCTTCTTTGGGATTCACTAGGTGAACATTATTCCTTTATATTATATTTCTTTATTTGTTTTATGTTAACGCTTTCAGTCCCAGGAAGTTTAGCTTCAGAGGCCTAAGGGATAGACAAGGGAGGCGTAAAATTGGCACATATTATGTTCATTGGACTTCTAGGCAATAACGTGTAAACGTATGGTGCGTTCCTTGGGACTGAAAGAGTTAATGGAATTGACCATGCAAGTGATGAATAGACGCAATATTTGAGGCTGTAAAAACTAGCATCTGCATAGCACAGTGGTTCTCAACTTTCCTAAAGCCGCAACCTATTAATACAGTTCCCTCATGTTGTGGTGACTCTTTAATACAGCTCTCTCATGGTGTGGTGACCCGCAAACAATTATTTTCCTTCATAACTCCAATGAATATTTGTTTTCCCATGGTCTTATGTGACTCCTGTGAAAAGGTCGTTCTGTCCAAAAATGGTCGCGACCTGCAGGTTGAGAACCGCTGGCATAGCTCATACCTTGGCTCGCCTGTGATGCCTCATGAAAACCTGACACTGAAATGCAAAACAGGACCAGAGAAGAAGAAAAAGTGTTGTATGCATTTTGTTCTTTACCATTAGATAGCATATAGAAATATCTTGTGTTTACTGTGTTGGTGAGTCGCCGTGGTGTAGCGGCTAGAGGCTCGCCGCGGATCGGAAGGTCGTGGGTTTGCTCCCTGGTGGAACCGACTTTTTTTAAAAAAGGACCTTGGCTCCCGGGTCGACCCAGCCTTGAGTGGGTACCGGGTGCAGTTCCAGGAAGTAGAGACGGCCGGCGTGATGCTGACCACATCACCCAGCAAGTGCCAATTGGTCTATTAAATATAGGTCTAGCCCTATATGCCCTATACGCCTAAAGGTGTGGAAAAAAGGTCCTTACTGTGTTGAGAGGCAAATGGTTTTGGTTATCTTGTTAGAATGCAGCAGTAGTACCCCGGTTACAGCTGAGATGCTACATCTAGAGATATAGAGGCAATCTCTTTGTTGAAGTGGACAAGCCATTTGCCTCGCACGCTGAAGGTTGTGGGTTTAGTTGACAAGTGCAGTTTTAATGGAGTTCCCAGAATTCACTAGTGCTGTCGCCATGGACTGTGTAGATTAGAATTGTATTTATTCTAACCTAGGATTCCTGCATGAGAGCCCTGCATTCTTGACCATTTGGCCAGCCACTCCTCTTCCTGCCCTACACTCATCATCATCATCAAATGCCTTGCTGACTGGCGTGGGTGAGCATCCCTCTCCCCAATCTGCAGTCCGCAACTGCGTATTTCAGTTTGTGTGTTTGCACCCTCCGTGACATGACAAACAGGCTGTCAAGCATCATCTCACACTGTCTTCCTCCATCTCTCTATCTCATTGTCCATGTCCTGTACATTGCTTCACCATGGTCACGTGCCCCAGTTTTCTTATTCTTCTCATAACGTAGCTAAAAAAATGATGACTGTCTCTTTCTGATGTCATCATTTTTTTGGTTATGCTTTTTTACACAGTAATTGTTAGTGGCAACTTTCTGTCTTTCCAGACGATAATGTTACATTGTGCTACGAGGAGGCCTGGTACTCACAGCTCAGTGCAGTGTCAAGTGTGGACTAGCACCACGATTATAGCACGGGATTTGAGGACCACTGTTGCTATCATTTGTGTTCACTGTGTTTCTTCTCAGACGCTCAGCTCTCATCATTTCTGCAATCATTTCTTCCTTCATTCTCATTCCATTGCTGGTTTGCCCCATCCATGCAACATGGCCATGAGATTCTGTTCACACACATCCACCTCATTACCTGTATCATTCTTTTCCTGCTTGCACACATCTTTATCGCCCGTGTGTCACCGGGGCCCTCACGGGAAGCATAGAATAGTGACACTGCACCCTACCAGGCATGTCGTAAGAGGCGACTAAGGGTGGGGTTGGGCTTGAGGTTGGCTACCTCATCCTGTAAAAACCATAGCCACAAAAACCAACCAACCATGGATAAGTCAAAAAGAGAAGCAAGTAAAATCCAGCCAACCAAGATGAGGGGAGGCTCTTCAAATAGAAGAAGTATGACACGGTGTGGAGAAAGCCGTAAGGAGTCCGGATCGTTGACGTACCTCTCAGCTGGGAAAACCTCCAGAACTGGCACCTGGAATGTTAGAACTCTCTATGATATAGGGAGAACAATGGAAGTAGCAAAGGAAATATTGGAATAAAGGAAGGCCAAAAAACACATGGAGAAGAGAGCTGGAGAATGAGGTTAGAAAGATTGGGAGGACATGGGGAGAGCTCCATGCAATGGCGAAGGATAGAACGACTTGGCGTGAGTTGGTTGAGGGCCCATGCTCCATTGGGGGATAGAAAGGCAGAAGAAGAAGACATATCTTTATCTCATAGTAGAGGTCAGCCTCGACATCTTCTACCCATCTGTAATTCATCATAAAGAATGTCCTTAGGGACCCAGCCACCTGAGCTTTCGGAGACTGAGCATTGAGAATTTGATTGTTATTACACTGTACTAAAAGCACTTTGATTGTTGTACAAGACAGATCCTGTATTGTATTGCAATTCCTGTCTCAAAACATAATTATTTTGTTGTTGTTGTGTTTCAGTGCCCAAGGATTGTTTGAGTGGATAGTGAAGGACAAAGAGCACAAGCTGAGATGGGAGTAAGTATCACTAACTTAAACACAGTTTACTCACTTTTAGTTGAATCTTGAGGGGTCATCGTGGCAAAGTGGCCAAGTTATTTACCACCCACTTTGGAAGATATGGGTTCATTTCACAGACACGTTCAGTTTATGACTTCAGTTTTTAAGGAGATCCGTGTGCAGATTTGAACCCTACACCTTCAGGCTGGCAGGTAAGTATCTATCACTATGCTACCGAAGCATCCAACTGCCTGTTTTGCTAGGGTGAATGCAGGGATGTGGCGGCGGGGTAATGCACTCATACAAGTGGGGAAATGCAGGGATGTGGCAGCGGGGTAATGCACTCATACAAGTGGGGAAATACAGGGATGTGGCAGCGGGGTAATGCACTCATACAAGTGGGGAAATGCAGGGATGTGGCAGCGGGGTAATGCACTCATACAAGTGGGGAAATACAGGGATGTGGCGGCCAGGTAATGCACTCATACAAGTGGGGAAATGCAGGGATGTGGCAGCGGGGTAATGCACTCATACAAGTGGGGAAATACAGGGATGTGGCGGCCGGGTAATGCACTCATACAAGTGGGGAAATGCAGTGGGGAATGTGGCAGCGGGTAATGCACTCATACAAGTGGGGAAATACAGGGATGTGGCGGCCGGGTAATGCACTCATACAAGTGGGGAAATACAGGGATGTGGCAGCGGGGTAATGCACTCATACAAGTGGGGAAATGCAGGGATGTGGCAGCGGGGTAATGCACTCATACAAGTGGGGAAATACAGGGATGTGGCAGCGGGGTAATGCACTCATACAAGTGGGGAAATACAGGGATGTGGCAGCGCGGTAATGCACTCATACAAGTGGGGAAATACAGGGATGTGGCAGCGGGGTAATGCACTCATACAAGTAAGGAAATACAGGGATGTGGCAGCGGGGTAATGCACTCATACAAGTGGGGAAATACAGGGATGTGGCGGCCGGGTAATGCACTCATTCAAGTGGGGAAATACAGGGATGTGGCAGCGGGGTAATGCACTCATACAAGTGGGGAAATACAGGGATGTGGCGGCCGGGTAATGCACTCATACAAGTGGGGAAATACAGGGATGTGGCAGCGGGGTAATGCACTCATACAAGTGGGGAAATACAGGGATGTGGCAGCGGGGTAATGCACTCATGCAAGTGGGGAAATACAGGGATGTGGCAGCGGGGTAATGCACTCATACAAGTGGGGAAATACAGGGATGTGGCAGCGGGGTAATGCACTCATACAAGTGGGGAAATACAGGGATGTGGCGGCCGGGTAATGCACATACAAGTGGGGAAATACAGGAATGTGGCAGCGGGGTAATGCACTCATACAAGTGGGGAAATGCAGGGATGTGGCAGCGGGGTAATGCACTCATACAAGTGGGGAAATACAGGGATGTGGCAGCCGGGTAATGCACTCATTCAAGTGGGGAAATACAGGGATGTGGCAGCGGGGTAATGCACTCATACAAGTGGGGAAATACAGGGATGTGGCAGCCGGGTAATGCACTCATACAAGTGGGGAAATACAGGGATATGGCAGCGGGGTAATGCACTCATACAAGTGGGGAAATACAGGGATGTGGCGGCGGGGTAATGCACTCATACAAGTGGGGAAATACAGGGATGTGGCGGAGGGGTAATGCACTCATACAAGTGGGGAAATACAGGGATGTGGCAGCGGGGTTATGCACTCATACAAGTGGGAAAATACAGGGATGTGGCAGCGGGGTAATGTACTCATACAAGTGGGGAAATACAGGGATGTGGCAGCGGGGTAATGCACTCATACAAGTGGGGAAATACAGTTATGTGGCGGCGGGGTAATGCACTCATACAAGTGGGGAAATACAGGGATGTGGCAGCGGGATAATGCACTCATACAAGTGGGGAAATACAGGGATGTGGCAGCGGGGTAATGCACTCATACAAGTGGGGAAATACAGGGATGTGGCAGCCGGGTAATGCACTCATACAAGTGGGGAAATACAGGGATGTGGCAGCGGGGTAATGCACTCATACAAGTGGGGAAATACAGGGATGTGGCAGCGGGGTAATGCACTCATGCAAGTGGGAAAATACAGGGATGTGGCAGCGGGGTAATGCACTCATACAAGTGGGGAAATACAGGGATGTGGCAGCGGGGTAATGCACTCATACAAGTGGGGAAATACAGGGATGTGGCAGCGGGGTAATGCACTCATACAAGTGGGGAAATACAGGGATGTGGCAGCGGGGTAATGCACTCATACAAGTGGGGAAATACAGGGATGTGGCAGCCGGGTAATGCACTCATACAAGTGGGGAAATACAGGGATGTGGCAGCCGGGTAATGCACTCATACAAGTGGGGAAATACATGCACAGAGCTGATTTAAAATAGTGAATCTTTAATTGTACACAATTTGTCTATTTAAAAAATGCCAGGAATAGTGCATCTCTAATTGTATAATGTGTTGATCTCTAAGATGGCAGGAATAATGTATCTCTAATTGTATAATGTGTTGATCTCTAAGATGGCAGGAATAGTGCATCTCTAATTGTATAATGTGTTGATCTCTAAGATGGCAGGAATAATGCATCTCTAATTTTACAATGTGCTCTGTCTCTAAAATGCTATGAATAGTGCATCTTCAATTGTACAATGTGTCTGTCTCTTAATTACTAGGAACAGTGCATCTCTAATTTTACAATATGTCTCTAAAATGCCAGGAATAAGGAATCTTTGATTGTAGAATATATCTTTGAAATGCTAAAAATAAGGAATTTCTAATTGTACATTGTATCTGTGTAATTTCAGGAATAATGAATCTCTAATGTTTCTGTGTGGGTTCCGGGGTCCCACTGTGGGGAAAACAAGAATAGGCCCACTGCCCACTCTAAATAATGAAGTAAGAGTTGACTTATTGGGAGCCTCCTTCGAAGTCGGAGTACATCTGCCTGAGAGGCAAGGAACCAGTAGTCTGCGTACAAATTAGTCAGACCTGTGAAACACATTAGCACGCAACACTCAGTTTCTGGAACAGGACTAGAGTCCAGAAGTGGACAAAAAACCAGAACTTTCCACCAGGGTTTACAGCCAGTAAACTTGAAGAAGAAGAAGATGAATCTCTAATGGGACAGCGTATCTCTCATCTCCAGGTGTATCTTCCTGCCAAGCAATGGCTCCTTCTTTGTCAACTACATTATCACTGCTGCTTTCATTGGAACCACACTGGAGCTTCTCCGATTCTCTGAGCTCTTCATGTACGGGCTGAAGCTTCTGCTGGCCAGGTCTCAAGCTGAAAGGGCCGCCGTGAGAAAAGTGAGTCATGTGAAGTAAATAAGGGATAGACCTTCCTCTTCTGTGTTTGCTCTACTGCTTACGCCGTAAAGCTTTGCAGAGAGTTAGATGTAGTTTCCTTCTTTTACTAGTTGAATAGCTTGTGTTATGATGGCTGTTCTATAGTGTCTCTTTTACTCCATCCACCCATCTCTTTCTTGGTAGGCCTCTTGACTTATAGCCTGGTGTTCTTATGTAATATGGTCTAACTGCTGACTGATTTTATTCTATTCTGACCATATGACCAAACCATTTTATTCTTTGATGTTTTGTGAAATCATTTACCAATACTGTGCCTACCATTGTTCTTAGTTCTTCATTAGTGACTGTGTTTTTAATGTGTTTTTTTAAATGCCATATTTCTTATACTGCTTATCTTACGTGTAGTTTTGTGTCTATGTTGTTCTAGCAATGTCTATTCTGGCATTGATAACACAAGTTGGTTATCAGCAGGGCATTTATCAGCTGCAGTAATAGACTGATGAGGTATACTGATTATATTTTTTTTTATTTAAAAAAAAAATGGACTTGACCTTGATTATGCTGATAGAATCACTCAGCATACACACATGGAAATGGTCCTGTGATTCCAGCCACATGACAGCTTGTGATGGTTATGCTGCTGGTAGTCATAGAGAAGGAGCTGTTGGCTTCCTGGACTGTTCTGTCTACACAGTGAGCTGTCAATGCCCATGCACTCTTGTGACCTCATTCAGCGGACTCGTAGACTAAGCAGTACTGAGTGGGTGTTTAGTAGCATGCCATATGACACTTTACCTCCTGGGGCATTTCCCCGCACCCATTTGGGGTGGGGTAGTGACACATGATGAATCTTAACAGAAATGCTTACTTTGATGTAAGAGTAAGTTCTTGTTGAAGTCATATGCATTGCTGTAACCTGTTAGGGCTGGGTTAATCACAACGTGATGACTCTAAACAGTGAATGCTTACTTTGATGTAGAGTAAATGTCTGTTCAAGTCCTGTTCAATGCTGTATGTTCTTGTCCATGTCATGTAAATTACTAATTGTTCTTCTTCATGTCATTTAAATTGCTGTATGTTCTTGTCCATGTCATGTAAATTACTAATTGTTCTTCTTCATGTCATTTAAATTGCTGTATGTTCTTGTCCATGTCATGTAAATTACTAATTGTTCTTCTTCATGTCATTTAAATTGCTGTATGTTCTTGTCCATGTCATGTAAATTACTGTGTGTTCTTCTCCATGTCGTGTAAATTGCTGTATGTTCTTGTCCATTTCATGTAAATTGCTGTATGTTCTTGTCCATTTCATGTAAATTGCTGTATGTTCTTGTCCATGTCCTGTAAATTACTGTGTGTTCTTCTCCATGTCGTGTAAATTGCTGTATGTTCTTGTCTGTATTTTGTAAATCACCGTAGGTTTTTGTCCATATCCTGTTTTTGTCCATGTCCTGTACATTGATGTATGTTCTTGTCCATGTCCTGTACATTGATGTATGTTCTTGTTCATGCCATGTACATTGATGTATGTTCTTGTCCATGTCCTGTACATTGATGTATGTTCTTGTCCATGTCCTGTACATTGATGTATGTTCTTGTCCATGTCCTGTACATTGATGTATGTTCTTGTCCATGTCCTGTACATTGATGTATGTTCTTGTCCATGCCCTGTACATTGATGTATGTTCTTGTTCATGCCATGTATATTGATGTATGTTCTTGTCCATGTCCTGTACATTGATGTATGTTCTTGTCCATGCCATGTTCATTGATGTATGTTCTTGTCCATGTCCTGTACATTGATGTATGTTCTTGTCCATGCCCTGTACATTGATGTATGTTCTTGTCCATGTCCTGTACATTGATGTATGTTCTTGTCCATGTCCTGTACATTGATGTATGTTCTTGTCCATGCCTTGCACATTGATGTATGTTCTTGTCTATGTCCTGTACATTGATGTATGTTCTTGTCCATGTCCTGTACATTGATGTATGTTCTTGTTCATGCCATGTACATTGATGTATGTTCTTGTTCATGCCATGTTCATTGATGTATGTTCTTGTCCATGCCCTGTACATTGATGTATGTTCTTGTCCATGTCCTGTACATTGATGTATGTTCTTGTTCATGCCATGTACATTGATGTATGTTCTTGTTCATGCCATGTACATTGATGTATGTTCTTGTCCATGTCCTGTACATTGATGTATGTTCTTGTCCATGTCCTGTACATTGATGTATGTTCTTGTCCATGTCCTGTACATTGATGTATGTTCTTGTTCATGCCATGAACATTGCATTGTGTTCAGTTTCCTGACTCAGTCCTTCATAATGAGATAACCATCAACTGTTTTCTCTAGGCCGTTCTCTGGGGATTCCCCTATGGCACGCAGTACGCCTGGATGCTGTGTATGACGGCCATCATTGTTAGCTACAGCATTCCCTGTCCACTGATCACACCCTTTGGTGAGTGCAGCTTGTCATGTGCTTTCTTCCTCTGTCATGTGCCTTATTCCTCTGTCATGTGCTTTCTTCCTCTGTCACGTGCTTTCTTCTTCTGTCCTGTGCTTTCTTCTTCTGTTGTGTGCTTTTTTCCTCTGTTTCCTCTGTCCTGTGTTTTCTTCCTCTTTCATGTGCTTTCTTCCTCTGTCCTGTGCTTTCTTCCTCTTTCATGTGATTTCTTCTTCTGTCATGTGCTTTCTTCCTTTGTCTTGTGCTTTCTTCCTCTGTCATGTGCTTTCTTTCTCTTTCCTGTGCTTTCTTCCTCTGTCATGTGCTTTCTTCCTCTGTTGTCCCCATTCCCGCTCAGTCATGTGCTTTCTTTCTCTGTCGTGTGCTTTCTTCCTCTGTTGTGCTCATTCTCCCTATGTCATTTGCTTTCTTCCTGTCGTGTGCTTTCTTCTTCTATTGTGGGTTTTCTTCCTGTCATGTGCTTTCTTTCTGTCATGTGCTTTCTTCCTGTCATGTGCTTTCTTCCTGTCATGTGCTTTCTTCCTGTCATGTGCTTTCTTCCTGTCATGTGCTTTCTTCCTGTCATGTGCTTTCTTCCTGTCATGTGCTTTCTTCCTGTCATGGTTTTTTTCCTGTCATGTGCTTTCTTCCTGTCATATGTTTCTTCCTTTCATGTGCTTTCTTCCTGTCATGTGCTTTCTTCCTGTCTTGTGCTTTCTTTCTGTCATGTGCTTTCTTCCTCTGTTGTGTGCTTTTTTTCCTCTGTAATGTGCTTTCTTCCTGTCATGAGCTTTTCTTACTGTCATATGCTTCTTTCCATCATGTGATGCCAGCTTGGAGGCTGTTCATTCTTGGGAGAAGGATTGAGTCATATGGTATCAAACTTAGTGCACTGAAGTCAACCCTCTCAGCTTTTAACCTTTACTGTTTAGATAGCAAGTCATAATGTGTGTGTGTGGGGGTGGGGGGGGGATGGCCTGGGAGCAAGGAATGTACCCACAGCCTCTAACAAGCATTTTGTAAAAGTCAGCTAATTAGGCTATTTCCTTTGAAGTCAGAATGCATCTGCCTAAGAATTAAGGAACCAACAGTCTGCTTACTAATAAGCCAGGTCTGTCTGTAAAACGGATGTGCACACAAAACTCAATTTCTGGAACAAAACCAAAGTCTAGAAGTGGGCAATCTATCAGAACCAGAGTTTACAACTGGTGAAGGCACAGAAGAAGAAGAGACTGTCCTTTGAAACCAAAAGAGTTAAACTGTTGTGTCCAGTAATATAATTGACCTTTGCCCTTAACTCTTGAGTCCCAAGAAAGGCTTCGTACGTTCATAGCTTCCTACCTAGAAGCCCAATGAACGCAAGATGCGCCGATTTAACATCTTTCTTGACCACCCCTTGGGCCTGTGATGTTAAACCCCCTGGGACTTAAAGAGTTAATGATGATGAATAAGAATGATGATAGTATAATTGTAATTCATATCCTTTCTGCAGTTTACCAGTCCATTGTTTCTACTTTCAGGACTCCTATACTTATTTTTCAAGCATGTGACAGATCGCTACAATATCTTCTTTGCGTACAGCCCCTCGCGAATAGACAAGCACCTCCATGGGTCAGCGGTGACTTTTGTCTTGTGGGCTGTCATCTTGCTGCAGTTCAACGTTGTCTTCTTTACAGGACTGAGATCAGGTTTGGGTTTTCATTTCATTTGTTCGCTGTATTTTCTAGGCAGGTTTTTTTTTGCATTTCATTGATATAATGTATTTCTCCTACAGGTTTCTGGGCCTCGTTCTAGGGTGGGGGTGGGGGAGGGGGGGGGGGGGAGAACAGACCTATTGCTTCCCTAAAAGGCATGTCATATAATGCCAGTGATTGGGGTGTGTTTTATTTCAAGTCGGAGTGCATCTGCCTGAGAAGCAAGGAACCAACAGCCTGCATACAAATAAGCCAGATCTGTTAAATGGATATGCATGCAAAACTCAAGTTCTGGAACCAGAAGTGGACGAACAATGAGAACTTTTTGCTGGAGTTTACAGCCAGTGAACGTGAAGAAGAAGATATGTATTTAGTTTAAAACAGCATTATGACCAAGTGCCTTGCTGACCTACATCGACAGTATATGCAAGAATGCCAAGCCCATGAATGAAGATCTTAGTAAGATCAACGAATTACTCTTTGCAGATGACCAGGCCTTGATAGCAGATACAGCCATGAAATTGCAACAACATCTAACTTCCATGAATGAAGAATGTAAAACAAATAATATGAGAATCAACACTGAAAAGACAGAAGTAATGTCAATAGGAAAAAAAAAAAGACAGATCTAAACATAGCAATAGAATACAAAGGCATTAAACAGGCATCTGAGTTTAAATATCTGGGAACTACATTTACCGAAGATGGGAAATTAGATAAAGAAATTGACATTAGATGCAGTAAAGCAAACCAAGTATTGGGACAGCTAGCCCCCCTCTTACAGCATAAGACAATCCCAATCAGCACAAAGAGACATCTTATTCAAAGCATATTTATTCCAACTCTGTGCTACCAGTGCCAGACATGGTCACTCACAACAAACCATAAAAGAAATTAGTAACCACGGAAATGAGATGTCTGAGAAGGGCTGTAGGAGTGACCATAAGAGATAAGATCAGGAATGAGATCATAAGAGAACAAGTCGGCACAGAACCAATTCTGGATTACATACAAAGACAGCAAGTGAAATGGTTTGCCCACTTAGAGAGAATGCCTTGTGACACCATACCATACAAAGCATACATGGAAAGAGAAGAAGGACGTAGAGCACGGGGTAGACCAAGAACAAGATGGAAGGATAACATCAGAGAAACTCTACAACAGCACGATGTGCCTATGGTCGAGGCAGCCAGAAGAGCTAGAAACAGAACCTTATATCTCCCTCGACACCCACAGCGGTAAGAGAGGAAGTGAAGAAGAAGAAGAAGAAGCCTTGCTGACCAGCATGGGCGATCATGCCCCTTCAGCAGCCTGCTGTATCTCCACCAACATTCATCAATGCGGGTGCCACTGTGGTGTAGCGACTAGACACTCGCCTGCTGATCGGAAGGTCGTGCGTTCGGGTTCTTACGGAACCTGACTTTTTTTCCTAAAATGACCTTGGCTCTCAGGTCAGTGGGTACCAGATGCAGTCCTAGGAAGTAAAGGCAGCCAGCATGATGCTGTCCACATCACCCACCAAGTGCAGATTGGTGTATAAAATATAATTCTAGCCCAATATGCCTAAAGGCATGGAAAAGGGTCCTTTTTATTTTATTTTTCGCATTCATCAGTATGTGGGCTAACACCCCTCCAGGCCAAAACAAAAATGTGTCAGGGTTAAAAACATAGCAATCTAAAATAGTGTATAACATGGGACTCAGTGCAGATACTAAAATAAGAAGAACAGAAATTAGCTTTCATAATACTTACATTTTTTGGACATCAGAAAAAAAATTATAAATAGAAGCAGATTTAGAATATTTAGCAGTACTGCGGTCCATGTGTATTTCTGGGCCCACTAAAAAGCATGTTGTAAAAAAAAAAAGAGGTCCCCAAATAAGCATGTTGTTTAAAAAAAAAAAAAAATAATAAGCATGTTGTAAAATAAAAAATAAATATAAACAGAGATACCCAAAAAAGCAAGTTGTAAAAGGAGACTCAAAGGTTTTCTGAAATCCAGTGGGCGGAGCTGAAAGATGCAACCTAGCTGTGAAGCACAGCTCAGTGTGCCACCTGCCTTTTTGAGGGAGCATAGTATGACTAATATTGTATCTTCTTCTTTGCCTTCACTGGCTGTGAACTCTGGCTGACAGTTCGGGTTGTTCATCCACCTCTGGACTTTACTCTTGTTCTAAACCTGAGTGGTGTTTGCACATCCATTTTACAAATGTGACTTTTTTGTATGCAGACTGTTGGATCCTTGCCTCTCAGGCAGATGCACTCTGATTTTGAAGGAAGCCCCCAATAAGTCAACTCTTACGACATGCTTGTTGGGGAGACAGTGGGTCTGATCTTGTTTTCCCCCACATCGGGGTCTTTGAAGCCACACGAGGAGGGGGAATTGTATGATAGTGTGACTAATGCTTAGGTAATCAAATGTCCTTCAATGAATCATGCTTCATATTTGTTCCCCCACAGAGGGCTTTGACCCAGTGTTCATCTTCTCCTCTGTGGCCTTGTTCATCACTCTGCTGATCTTTGTGGGGAGGATCAGCTTCGGCTGGTTCAAGCACATACGTCCTCCAAGATACAGGGTATGTGATCGGACCTGTTTAACTGTGTGTAGCAGAGCTTTCAAAATTATTCATGTTGTTGTCACTCTTTTATAGAAAGGCATAATGTTGTGACACAGTAGTTAAGTCCGCCTGTGAACCAGAGGTTTGCAAAACTTTACAGTTGATGATTATTCTGTTTATGACCTTGTGTTTGCTTGACTCAGCTTTCTACTACAGCCGACACACTAATGTGTTGCAAAACCACAGTTTGGAAAGCTCAGGTGTATAGAATGGTAAATTAAAAGATGAAAAATTTTCTGTCTGTGCGGAGACCAGAGGCGTGGCCTGAGAAGTAGGGGTAATGAGAAGATGTGTGAATGTATGAGGATATAAGAGGGTCGACCTAGGAATCAAAGGGGTGAGGCCTAGTAGGTAAAGGATGTGGCATATTAGGTGAATCCTGTAGCCTAGTTGGTAAAGGGTGTGGCACACTATGTACTTGATTTGTCCTAGTGTTGCCTAGTAGGCAGAGGGTGTGGCCTAGTGTTGCCTAGTAGGCAGAGGGTGTGGTCTAGTGTTGCCTAGTAGGCAGAGGGTGTGGCCTAGTAAAGTAAAGGGTAGGCTTGAGAATATTGGGCCATGAGAGGAGCGGGTCAAAGTGTCCGAGCAATAGTCAGATTTGTGTTTGGTGTTAACCACGTTAGGCCATAAGTGTAAGGATGGCCTGCTGGCGCTGCAGAAACAGAAGTTCTAAAGATGGTTCATGGACAGTCCCTGCTCAGATGATGGGAATTATCTGTACAGATGGCTCTGTGTTGAGAGGCAGAAGAAGTGCGTGACGAAGCAAGTGCATGTCACTTTAAGCAAGAAAGCCTCAAACAAGAGACAACATCTAGTTTGAGAATGGAGGTGAGGCAGTTATTGCAGCCTTCCGCTGGCTTGTGAACCAGCTGTGCACACATACCTACTCACAGATGTACATTGTGTGACCGAGTAGGTAAGGGTTGCTGCCAAATAGGTAAATAGTGTGGCCTTGTAGTTAATGGGTGCAGCCTAGGGGTAAGAATGTGGCCTCAGGAAATGTGATGTAGGAACAGGAAGGCAATGGAATAGGAACAAAGCAGAAATGGATTTCAGACAGCTTAAGAGCTGAACAGAAAGAACAGCTTGCTTTAAAAAAAAAAAAAAAAAAAAAAAAAACATCATGTTCAACAGCATCCCCGAAAAGGAGGAAGGCCGGGGGGGGTGGGGGGGGGGGGGGAGGTTATAATTATGACTAGGTTATGTGTGCCATATGAAATGGCTTAGCAGTGCTCACCACCAGGTAGTTTTGAAAAGAACTCTTGCAGTTTTGATGCGATCAAAGGAGACAGACCCACATACTTTCCCGACCGGCATCGAAGCTGTCTACCGGCCAGCCAATGGGTGACCCGGTCACCGATGTGTGAAGGAACATGCCGTGGAAGATTTGTCTGAATGTGGGCTGGCCTTGCTGATCCCACTCGCCTTTACCATGGGGCTCTGATTCTGATGCCTTCCTGTAGCAGAGTGGAATATTTATCATCCAGAAAGATGCCAAGAATTTAAAGACATGAGGGAAAAGTGTATAGATTAGAAAATATGAGTGAATAGCTCAGACACTAATACAGTTGTTGTTATCGATCCAGCGGCGCATGAGCTTTTGCCCTTTGGCCCAATGCCATGTAGTGGAATTTGCATGTTTTCACAAGCTGTTCTTTTCCTCCGTATAAGGTGTTCCACTTGTCTGGTCTCGGAGGGAGTAGCATCTTCTAGTCTCATTGAGTTTTGGGCACTCAAAGAGATGGTGTTCAACAGTTTTGTAGGTGTAGTTACATAGCTGGCACTCTGGGGAGTGTTGTGGCTGTATTCTGTTTAGATGTCCACAGAGTGGAGTTTGTTGTGTTTTAAGTCTGAAGATGGTGGCCTGGTCCCTTCTTGTTAGATGGTTGATGCTGTCATTAGGACCAGGGCCAGCCATATTTCTATATACCTCTCTTCCCATATCTCCCATGGAAGAATTTAAAGACATGAGGGAAAAGTGTGTAGATTAGGAAATATGAGTGAATAGCTCACACACACTAATACAGGCAGTTGTATCCAATGACAGAATATCAATGAAAGAGAGAACGGAGAGCCTACAAATGATGAGTCTCCTGAGATGACCATTTCCAAGGTAAGAGCTTGAAATCATTTCTCTTCCATTTATTGTTTAACTCTTTCATTCTGCTTCTCTTGACTTCCGGTCACTATTGTGGGCAGGCAGGCTTTTTTTCTGCAAGTTTTTGCTTTAGTTTTGCAAGAGTTAGCCTTTGCATTCTCCTTCTCTTATAGATGAAAGGATATAGTTCTGTCACCTAGATGCTGAGTTGAGTGCATGGCATGACACTGTGAGCTGCAGATTTCATTTGGAATTCTTTCTAAATGTACCCAATGTTTGGTGAGTGGCCTGTTGGCACTGAACTAGTTGTGCCTTAAGCAATTGATTGCATGTGCAACTACTGATCTGTTTAACTGCTGCTTTCATCGATGATGAGTTACATTTCTTGTGTTGGACTGTTTGTGTTAGCCAATCTGACAGCTGCCTAATGCATTTAATGTGTGTGTATGCTGTTGGCTTTACTAAGGCAACAGTCTGTGTCAATTTTTTTTTTCACAAGGGACAGTGATGGACATTATGTGTGGTTTTCTTTAGCACAGGAACGGAGCAACTATGGGGTGACCCGATCACTAGGAAGTTGGAACTGTGATTACCTGGGTTCTACTTACATTATATAGTTTTCCTAACCTCTTACGCTACATCCAGCTGTTATACTAACAACACTACCCTGGTTGTTACTTATAACTCTCACTCTCTCTCTCTCACCCCCTCTCTCATTCTTTCTCTCTCACTCTCACCTCACTCTGTCTTTCTCTCACAGTCTGTCACCACTCTCTCACACTCTCTCTATCCCTCCCTCTATCTTTCTCACTATCACTCTCTCTATCACTGTCTCTCTCTCTCTTTCTCTCTCCATCACTCACTCTCTCTCTCTCATCTCTCTCACTTGTTCTCTCTGTTTTGCAACTCTACCTTTCAGTCATTCTCTCGTTTTGTCTCACTTTGTTTTTCTCTTGGTTTTTATCTCTCTGCTACCCTCATACTATCTCTCTTTCTGTCACCCCTTCCCATCTGCCTCTGTTGTTTCTGTGTGTCTTTGTCTCTCTATTTTCCTATAATTGTGTATGTCTCACTCTTTCTTTCTGCTTCCATTTGTCTATCTGTTTCTGTTCCCATCATTTAATTTGTCTCTTTCTCTCTGTCTCTGTGTGTCTCTCTCTGTTTCCGCTCCCATAATTTTGTCTCTGTCTCTTTCATTCTCTCTGTTTCCATGTGTCTCTATTGTTTCTGTTCCTATCATTTTGTCTGTCTGTCTTTCTGTCTCTTTGTATTTCAGTGTAGCTACAGTATATGATTAAAATGTGAATTATACTCTTCAGTATGGCCAGAGTATTTTATTATTTCAGTATGTTTTCTCCCCCAGCCATTTGTAGCAAGCGTGCTCACTCAGGATCTCTCTGAAGACCAGGAAGTCAATGGGCCAGGTTGGCAGCCTGGGTATGGGTCAACAGACGGCGGTGAAACAAACCCAGCGGAAGAGGTCCTGCCATCAGCCCAGATGACTTAACGAGTTAGCCCACAGTTGCTGCACATACCTGGCATCGGTGGCACTCCACTAGGAAATCTGGAATCTGTCAATGTTGTTTGTGGCTAAGATGATGTTCCCTTGTGATGAAGCAAAAACCTTATCATTAATATCTTTTTATTTGATTATATTATGAGCATTCTTGTTGTTTCCCTGCAAAAAAGTCGAAGGAATGCAAATGGCTGGTTTTCTTGTGTGGTTTTAGGGCCCTCTTTGGCCCCTAGCAAGCATGTCCTAAAATTTGACTGTATAGATTTTGGTGAAATTGGATACCTTTGGCCAAAAGTTAAGGTTTAAACAACGGATCAACATCATGGCACAAGGGTAGTAACCCACAAGTGCTGCATTCTACTTCTAACTCAAGTGTGAGTACAAAGAATCTCAGCGCAGCGCACAAACTCTGTAGCACTGGCGAGGATCCTAAAATACTTTGGGTAGATTTTAAACTCCAAATTGTGCCCGGGCAGCGCACTGTTAGGCTACTTTTTTCCATTTCCAACTGTTAAGGGATTTTTTTTTTTTATAATGTTCGCAGCAGTACACACATTAGTGGACCAAAAGTTACAGATGTCGCAGCCTAACTGTAAATCACAGTGCTGTGTCTCAACTACCCTTTTAAGAATGAATGCTGAAAAAGAAATGGTATGGATAAAATCCCTACAGAGGAACTTTGAGAGAGAACTAAAAAAAACTCCACTGAATCGTCAAGAGGTGAGGAAATGATGCTTGTGGTGGATGAGGCACATACATTGAAGAAACCTGATGATAGTGTTATTAGTATGATCATATTCTGGGACCCTCAGGGCAGAAGAAGTAAAGGGAGAGAGCAAAACATACATGGAAAGGAGAATCTAAGACAGGTGAAAAAGGCAGGAGGGTGGGGGCATAGAGTGAGCTGCTTACAATGTTCAAAGGTAGGAAGACTTGATACAAGTTGGTTGAGGGCCTGTGTTCTATCAGAGAGCGAAGGACGGAAGAAGAAGAAGAAAATACTGTTTAACTCCCTCAGTTCCTTGTAATTGTTATTTTAACCACCTGTGTCCTTGATGTTTCTTTGAGGCAAAGTGCCACTGACAGGACTGTTCTCAAAACAAGTAAAATCAAACTGTGACATTGCAATAGTAGGAGGAAAAATGCTGAACAAGTCAGTAATTTCAAATATTTGTGGGCAGACGCAATATCAAATCATAAAATATGTTGGATGACACACAGGGTAAATGTACAAGACTACAAGGTCTTATTTTCCTCTACATCCTAGGTTGAAGTACAAGACTGCTGCAAGGTCTTATTTCCCTCTACATCCTAGGGTAGAAGTACAAGACTACAAGGTCTTATTTCCCTCTACATCACAGGGTAGAAGTACAAGACTACAAGGTCTTATTTCCCTCTACATCCTAGGGTAGAAGTACAAGACTACAAGGTCTTATTTCCCTCTACATCCTAGGGTAGAAGTTCAAGACTACAAGGTCTTATTTCCCTCTACATCCTAGGGTAGAAGTACAAGACTACAAGGTCTTATTTCTCTCTACATCCTAGGGTAGAAGTACAAGACTACAAGGTCTTATTTCCCTCTACATCCTAGGGTAGAAGTTCAAGACTACAAGGTCTTATTTCCCTCTACATCCTAGGGTAGAAGTACAAGACTACAAGGTCTTATTTCTCTCTACATCCTGTGGTAGAAGTACAAGACTACAAGTCTTATTTCCCTCTACATCCTAGGGTAGAAGTACAAGACTACAAGGTCTTATTTCCCTCTACATCCTAGGGTAGAAGTTCAAGACTACAAGGTCTTATTTCCCTCTACATCCTAGGGTAGAAGTACAAGACTACAAGGTCTTATTTCCTCTACATCCTAGGGTAGAAGTACAAGACTACAAAGGTTATTTCTCTCTACATCCTAGGGTAGACATACAAGACTACAAGATCTTATTTCCCTCTACATCCTAGGGTAGAAGTACAAGACTACAAAGGTTATTTCTCTCTACATCCTAGGGTAGACGTACAAGACTACAAGGTCTTATTTCCCTCTACATCCTAGGGTAGAAGTACAAGACTACAAAGGTTATTTCTCTCTACATCCTAGGGTAGAAGTACAAGACTACAAGGTCTTATTTCTCTCTACATCCTGGGGTAGAAGTACAAGACTACAAGGTCTTATTTCCCTCTACATCCTAGGGTAGAAGTACAAGACTACAAGGTCTTATTTCCCTCTACATCCTGGGGTAGAAGTACAAGACTACAAGGTCTTATTCCCCTCTACATCCTAGGGTAGAAGTACAAGACTACAAGGTCTTATTCCCCTCTACATCCTGGGGTAGAAGTACAAGACTACAAGGTCTTTTTTCTCTCTACATCCTAGGGTAGAAGTACGAGACTACAAGGTCTTATTCCCCTCTACATCCTAGGGTAGAAGTACAAGACTACAAGGTCTTATTCCCCTCTACATCCTAGGGTAGAAGTACAAGACTACAAGGTCTTATTCCCCTCTACATCCTAGGGTAGAAGTACAAGACTACAAGGTCTTATTCCCCTCTACATCCTGGGGTAGAAGTACAAGACTACAAGGTCTTATTCCCCTCTACATCCTAGGGTAGAAGTACAAGACTACAAGGTCTTATTCCTCTCTACATCCTGGGGTAGAAGTACAAGACTACAAGGTCTTATTTCCCTCTACATCCTAGGGTAGAAGTACAAGACTACAAGGTCTTATTTCGCTCTACATCCTAGGGTAGAAGTTCAAGACTACAAGGTCTTATTTCCCTCTACATCCTAGGGTAGAAGTACAAGACTACAAGGTCTTATTTTCCTCTACATCCTAGGGTAGAAGTACAAGGCTACAAGGTCTTATTTTCCTGCACATTACACGGCTGAAGATGAAAATTACAAGATCTTATTTTCACAAACCATTTTTTCCTCTAAACACTGTAAAAACAAAAAACAAATAAAGGCCACCCAACCCCCCAAAAAAATCAGAGGATATAATTGTTGTGCTGGTTGTAGTTTTAACTATTGTGATGTAATATACTTACTTGTATTGCGCTGGTTATTGTTGCAGTATCTCGATGGAATGTATTTCATCAGGACTCATTAATGCTTCATGAAGATGACTTCTTGATTGAAGGCTTATCAATAGTAACTAATGTGCTGCCATTTTTTTCTTTGTTTCTGTGTTTGTTTATTTAATAACCTCTGTTCTATTAAATTTATTTTTTAAAGAAAAAGCACCTTTTTCAGACCTTTTGGCTTATTGGGCATACAGTGCTGGGCCTGTATTTTTATAGACCAATCGGGGTACGGTATGGATAATGTAGTCAGCATCACCCCTGTCACCTTTACTTCCAGGGACATTTCCTGGTACCATTTTAAGGCTGGTTCGACCTGGTAGCCAGGGACATTTTTCAAAGAAAAAAGTCTTGATGTGAATTTCTTCCTCTTGTTCGCTGTCACCTGGCTGTAAACTCTGGCAGAAAGTTCTGGTTGTTCGCCCACTTCTGGGCAACAGTCTTGTTCAATAACCTGAGTGTTTGCATGCACATCCATTTTACAGATCTGGCTTATATGTGAGCAGACTGTTGGTTCCTCACCTCTCAGGCAGAGGCACTCCCAACTTCAAAGGAAACACCCCTAATAAGTTGACTTTGGCAACATGCTTGTTGTGGAGGAGGCAGTGGGTCCTCCCCCCCCCCCCCACCCTCCAAAATGGGGCCCCAGAAAGCACACCAGGGATGATGTAAATTTGAAACTCAGACCCCTAGTCCAGCAGACGAGAATGTAGCCACTACAGCTTGCCTAAGTTATTGGTGCAATACAATATGTTTATTTTGTGTTTATATTTGTGTAACTGCATGTGATTCTTAAATCCTTCTTTGATATGCATTGTTTTCTCAAACACTAAACTAATTCAAGTCACAAACCAAGAAACTCTAGACAGTATGATAACCAAGAGAAGATGGAAAGGCTTGGCCACGTTATGAGAATGAATCCTGATATACCTGCCAAAACAGCTCTCACATGGACACCAGAGGGAAAGAGAAAACAGGGGCGCCCAAAAACTACATGGAGACGAACGATGGAAAGTGACCTGAGTGCGGCATCTTTGACGGGGAAAACTGCACTGAAGATTGCACAGGACGGGAAAGCATGGAAAGTCCTCTCTAAAGCCTCATGTGCCACTAGACAAAATAGAGAGAATTGATGATGATTGATTGATGATATGCATTGTTGGTTTGTATGTTCATTTCTGTTCTACCTCATACCTCTTTTCGTTAATTGTGTCATCAGGCACGGTTCTATTTTCTAAGTTAAGGTTCCTGTGGGATGTGCATTTTCCTGAGAATTCAGTGGCTGTCGGATAGTCATATATTGAGGTATATTTTATGGGACAATTTGCAGTTGGCATATCAACTCGGGAAGTTAACATGGTCAACAAATGCTCTATGAAGTCAGAGATATGAACCGAAAGTCGCAAATATCGCAGCTTTGCTGTAAACAGGCACAACAACCACCCAAAAAAAAAAAAAAAAAGGGAATTATCAAACAAATGTGGACGCACAAACAGCAGAAAACCAACAGGTACTGATGGCCTGGGTGAGCCTGCCTTTGGAGATTGTCAAGAAGGACCCGTTTTACGCCAGTTGGGTTGGGTATATGATGCTAGACTTGATTTTAATAGACTAATGAGCACTCGGGGGGGGGGGGGGGGATGAGGGTGAGTACTCTGTGGAGGGAAAGGGAGGGGTGAGCACTTTGTGGGGGAAGGGGAGGGGTGAGCACTCTGTGAGGGGAGGGGTGAGCACTCTGTGGGGGGAGAGGAGGGGTGAGCACTCTGTGGGGGAAGGGGAGGGGTGAGCACTCTGTGCGGGGAGGGGGGCATTGTAGTCAACACCCTGTGGTGGGGGATAGGTGTATTATGGGGAGATCACATCAGATGGCAGACCATGATTGTCCCATGATGGTGTCCCATATCCTGATCACTCATACTC